TTTTTTTTTTTTTTTTTTTTTTTTTTCGTTCAAAGCTGCTACTCGTAAATTGAATTAAAGTTTAGCTGGATTCGTGGCCAATTAAAACTTTCTTTCTTTCTTTGACTTTCTGAACTTGGTTAAAATGTGGAACCACGAAGTATATACATGTTTTAAAAAATTATTCGATTAATATTACATATTGAATTATTTGATTTGATTATTAAAAGTCATGTTTATAAATTAAAAATATCGAGATAGTGCACAATAATCGTTACGATTAAATATTCCATTATTGTGTATGCCAGTGTGCACATGATTTATATTAATTATTATTCAATTAAAATTATAAAAAATAAAAAGAAAGATAAGGAATCATTCTTTTATTATAAATGATTTAATTAATGTTGTTGGATTCTGTTATTAATTACAAGATATGAAAATCTTTCAACGAGAATGATTTTATCACACCAATTGACGTTGATCACACCAACGAGAGTGTATCAAAGAATTAATCTTTTTCATTGTCTCTTTCATTTAATATAAAAGAATTTTAAATAGGAGTTTTTGATCCTGGTTTGAAGAAGAGTTTTTCCTTTCGTTCTAAGGATATTTAATTACTCAAAAATATTCCTATTATTCGAATAACTTACAAAGTATTCTTTTTCATAGTAATTTCTCTCTTTTTTCTTCGTGAATATAAAAAAATCGTTAAAATGAATATAAATTGATTTCAGTAGACGTGTAGAAAATTTTTCATTCATTTTCGTATCGAACAAATGAGAAATATTCAATTTTAATTCTACGTTGAAGCAATGTTTTTATAATTMTTTATTTATATTATTTACCTAATCGACAATGCTTTCATCGGTCGGGTAATTAGTAACCATCTTTCAACAGCCATCACGGTTAAGTTACCAATACTAGCGAATCCCAATGTAGACATGAACCAGGCATACCTTTAATATTCAAATATAATTAGTAATTCATCAGAAAATAAAAACTAATGGAAAAGAAGAGTTTCATAGAAAAAAGAATGTGAAATAAAACTTGTATTATCACGTAGAAAATAATCAATTGATTTATATATATATATATATTATATTTATATTATATATAATTTATTAATATAATACAATATAAATATAATATAATAAATATATAATATAATATATTTATATTATAATTTTAAAAAAATCAATGCATATGTACCCGTAATTATGAAAGTGGTCAAAGTCAAAATTAATAAAAAATGAGTTTATCAGTTATTACGCACTACATTATTATAAACTAAATAAATTCAATGTAATTTTCACGATATTATCAAAAATGAATCGTTAGATAATGTTTGTTATTTCAATATTGTATAGAATTCATATAGTGTTCAAGTATAAATCTTTAAATATCTCGAAACAAGAGAAATATAACTTAGACCACCTTCATAATTATGGGCACATATGTGTTTAAAAAATTTTAAATATAAGTATTGCAGTATACAATTATTACAGTATTGTATTACAGTATGTGTATTACAGTATATAATTATTTAATTTGTTAAATTATCGAAAGAACTGCATATTGTTGTTTAAAAGTTTGGAATATATGTTCGGTGCACCGTTCTCTTCAAAATCCACTGTTAGACTGGTTTTTTGTTTTCTATTAAAGTTCTTTTATTCAATGTTGTTTTATATGACTTTCCGAATGTTGCATATGTATAATACAATTAATACTCGAAATAAATAGAATTTCCTTTTATGGAAAGTCATGTAAACAATATTGAATAAAACAACTTTCATGAAGGATAACGGAGCCAGTCTAACGGAAGATTTCGAAGAGAACGGTACATCGAAAGATAAATTCATATTTTTAGATTATAATATACACTTTTTTTGATTATTTAACGATCATTTAAGGTGTGTCAGACATTCTAATATATTCTACTGATATTTTGAATTATTTAAATTTGTTTTAACGTTACTGACCAGTGATGATTTCGATAATTAACAAATTTTCATTTAATTAAATATCAGATTAAAATTGTTTAATATTCCAAATATATAGATGTATAATTTTTAAACAAATAATTATCGATGGATAGATTTTATATACGTATACACACATACAGACACACTAAATTAACATTAAATTCTTCCATAATTTCGTTCAACTCTCGATCGTCTGTGAATATTATCTTACTTTCTCTTTCTCTCTCTTTTTTTTTATGTCCTTTCATAAAATTTTATTATAACCGTCGCCTAAGAAGTTTTATTATAGAAAGATACAAATATAAATGTGTTTTAGGTACTTTTGTAATTAGATATAAACACGTGAAAGCTCGACGATGTACCAGTTACGAACAAACACACGTATAAAAGATAAATGTATTTAGTTTTTGTTTTTTTATTTGTTTCGATTTCGTAACATATATATTATATAAAAGAAATTAAATGAAATTAAAAAAAAAAAAACATAATAAAAAGATAAGAGAGAGAATTGACATTTCAGTACACGGTTCAAACGTGACCGCCAATAGTGAAGACTTATTAAATTTGCAAGGATCGTTTTTTAAAATTCACAAGACGCGGCCGTCCTTCGAAAAAGTTTGCGACATCGGTTCGTTCGACCATTCGACACGATGCAGTTTCACTTCTTCGTGAAACTTCATTATCCATAAAAAATATGGTCCATCCAAAACGTGACGAACCATTGTGAATGTAACAAAATGATAAATAGAAATCTACGTTTTATGTTTAAATGTTGTTAAATCAAATAATATAATTGTTTTTTAATTGCACGCTTATCAACGTTATACATTTTATTCATTTTAATTTTTAATTTATTCAAAATAATGCTTCCCTTTCGGGATACATGGGAATTTTAATTTTTAATTGAAATGTTATTTTGATTTTAAAATATACAGTTAAATAAATAAATATTTATACGAGTAACATTTATTTGAAAGAGAAAAATTCATAGGGGAAATCAAGTTATTTTTATTCGAACGATCATACGTAAATATGTCATGAAATATATCAAATTTAAAATGAAATTGTTTGATAACTAACTCAATAGAAATGTATATTATATATTCTAGAGTACAAATCATTTCTGTAATTATCGTTTCGATAACTAGTTGTACATATATACTACTGTTCGTTCATTGCTGTCGATATTCAATCGCATTATTGTTATTCGACATCACATTATTAATGATGAATTATACATAGTAATTAAACAAAATTAACAAGTATGAAAATAAAAATTACTTAAGTATTCCCTAATGAACTGCCTAAAATAGTTCAATTAAACGCTAAATGGTTATTATAATATATAATGTGGTGACTTGAAGTATTTCAAACCCCATTTTATTGTGTCACACTGAATAAACGAGCATTAATGATCTGGAATTAATTAAACGAAGCTAATCTCTCCTATTGTGTGTAGTAATCCATAGCAATATTTATTATTTTTGTACCTTTCGAAACAATACCGTTTAATTCTATTCATTGTTACGTTTATATATGTGTATAATAAATAAAGTTTATTTTTGTTACCAAAGACACATGTCATAGCCCCAATACCATCCACTTGTTATTGCAGAAGTCATTGCCAAAGGATTCCCCAAGGCGGCTACTAAAAAATCTCCAACCTTTGAAATAAATATTATTTATTTATTATTTTATATTTCCGTTCACCTTTCTTTTTTTAGAAAACGTATAATTTGTCTTTTATTTTTATATGTAAAATGATAACAAATTCAATTGGTATTGATACAATGTTAAAAATTGAACAAAAGCAAGACTGCAATTGACATCTCGATTATTTTCATTCCTTTTTTTTTTTTTATAAAAAGGAGCTTGCAAGGAAGCAAGGACAACATCGACCGGCAGTTTATATCCCTTATTGAAAACCTTTATCCCCTCGAGAAAAAAAAAATACGTTACTCTTAATTCTCAACTGAGTACCTTGTGGTACTGAATTGGATGATTTAGTTGAGATCGACGTAATAGAGAGAGTATAATTTAACACCATCGATATTATTAATAAAAATTTAACATTTTATTTATTGCGAATATGAAAGAAAATTTATAGAAATATCATCGATTGTTAATAATATTTATTTTTCCAGTTGTGTTAAATATAAATATAATATACGATCTTTATATTAAAAAAACAACACATTTAAACGTTTATCGATGTAATTCGATCTTACGCATGGTTGATACTTTATATATATAATTTTTCTTTCTTATATATCTGGTCTTATATGTTAAATAAAAAAGAAAAACATGGGTGAAATACTTACAACCAAATTAAAAAGAATAACGTTGACGGGAGTCCAGAGTGATTGAGCATCCTTAACGATGATTATCGCGACAATTAAGTTTAGAGTGAAACCAAAGAAGCCAATGATACCGAGTGCAATAGATGCACCCACGTAAATGCCTGCACTTATTTCTTCATTGACAGTGTCATTCATATGATTTGTTTCTCGAAGATAAGGAGACATGCTCATGCTAACTTAACGTGATTTATAATTTGTTTAAAATAAATACACTCTTGTAGGATAACACAAAAGAAAAACAATAGCCACGTTAAAGTCACGTGTGTGTCACTATTTAGTTAAATTTTTTTTTTCTTCCCCGAGAGAAGTTCGCGGGAAAACTTGCCAGCGTTTAATCAAAGTAGTGAGGATATTTCGAAGTCACCCTATCCTTATATGTTCGCTACCCTCTTTCCTCCCACCACTTGTGCCATTCGTTTTCTCTCTCTCTCCTACTCACTCACCCTGGATTCAGAATGGAAGCAGCATGCGCGAAATGAAGCACACCACTACACTCTTCTGGACTATTATTGTTTGTATCTTTCACGTACACGTATAAACAAGCCATTAATTGTATTAACAATAAGTAGAAGCATTTAAATTAATCGACTAGAGTAATTTCAAGATATACGCTTTTTCTTTTCCCTTTACATATAATAGAAGATAATGTTCTTGCTATTATTCTCTTAAAATTAAATGTCCACTTTTTTATCTCAAAATGATTTTATAATAGATTACTGTTTTCCATAAATTATAAGTGAAAAATATCAAAGCTTATTAAAATTTAAGATGTGAACTTGAAAAACTCAATATTTGATGAAATAAAATTAATCGATTTAGTAATTATTAATATTTCTTTCATGCACGAGTCGTCATTGGCTGAGAAAAAAAATTTTAAATCCTGTGATAATCCCTTCAAAGAGATCATAGTCGTTAATGTTGGATTATTGTCAAGGGCGTTCGATAAAACGTCTGCGCAGTTGATAATAATTGGTATGACCTATTAAGGTTACGGGTAACAAGTTTTTTCCTGTTTTTTTTTTTTTTTTTTTTTTTTTTTTTTAATATAAAGGTTTTAACGAAACTGTGTAAAAAACGTCATACGTGTTATTTAAAAACCGGGCTGTATTTTTATTCAACTCTCTCATTAACAATGGCAATTCTTTTTATCAAACTTTTACTTAAAGATTTAAATTATGACTTACGATACACAGTATGTATAGAGTGATATTATTATTATTTCTTTTTCAATTTACATATCTTCAGTATCGCTATCCGAATCTTCTACCATTGCCTGTCGCGCTTTAGCCTCTGCTTCTGCTTTTATATCCGCTGGTACGCGTTCATGCTTTCCATTGGTATGTGCACCTACCCAACTCATTTCTAATTCAAATTGTTTATCTTTTAATTCATCGTGTACTAAATAAATAATACGTGCTGCTTCTTTCACTAAATCTTTACAAGTCATATCAGATAACTTTAATTTCTCAATTTCTGTCTTCGCAGACTGTTTCGCTTTGCCTGATTTCAAAATTACATAAAAAAGAAATTAATTTATTAATACTACTTGCATTCAATTTCATTTGTAATAGTTTAAATATCATTACTCACCTACTGCGCAACCATAATAACCGTATGATACACCAGAAGGATCAATCATATACATTGCAGGACCATCTGCTTCGTAAGCTCCAAGAATTACAGAGCAACCATAAGGCCTCACAGCAGAATATAATGTATAAGCATGCATATACATAGAAACTCTTTCATTTAAGTACTTCAGAGGAATGCCTATACCGTATTGAGAACGATAACTAGCCGCCTCCGATCTTGCAGTTTCTGCTATCTGTCTTGCATCAGAAATAAGGCCAGAAACTGCCATGCCAACGTGCTGATCTATGTTAAATATTCGTTTATTAGCACCTGGCTCATAGAGCTTAGAAGTAATAAGCTTTTCAATCGCAAAGACAACACCATCCTTCCCTTTTAAACCAATGACAGTGCTGAAAATGACAGATAAATGACAAATAAATAATCTAAGTTTTTATAGTACTATGCACAAATTGATTTTTTTATAAATTATTAAAGTAGAAATTACCCTCCATTTTCAACAGCTTTTTGGGCATATTCTACTTGAAAAACACGTCCATCAGGTGAAAATTGTGATGCAGACAAATCATACTGAAATGTTTAGAGGTTATATTACTCACTTTTCTTTAAAATAATCAACAGAATATTATAATATTATAGAAATAATGGTGAATATATATTTACCCCAGTACCGATGGAACTCATGTCTCACTGAATTTTTTAAAGTAATATTACTTGCTTTGAAAGTAATAAACAATTGTTTACTAGTCGTAAAAATCGTGAATAGGCGAAATATCAAAACGGATTGTCAGCGCCACTAGGTACAGTAGTATGACATATCTACCTGACCTCTGTTGTTCATTTCTGCAACTTCTAATCCGAGCAAGTAAGAATAAGAAAGGAAGATAAGTAAATTTTAAAACTAAAATAAAATTATTTTCATTATGTTCTTAAAATTACGTTAAATATATTACTATATATGTTAGATATTAATAATTATAATATATAAATAAATTATATAATATTTGATTATATTATTAACAAAAACTATGATTTCCGAACATAATATTTTAAATCCTGAGTATATATTCGCGGCAAAAATATGAGCCAATGAAAATAAGGATTTCATAAATGCATTTTAAGACAATCGGCAACCCGCGCAAATCATAAGTTGCATACCAACTTTTGTTAGTGAAACACTGATCAGTGTCGTCCTCATTAAAATCAGGTAATTAATCATTTTTTTCTAATTAAAATTTCCAAATTATATATCAATCGATAGCTAACAACACGATTTTTACGAGTCTGCGTTATCAAATCTAGATATTGTTGGATTTAAAAGATATTCATGATTGAATACAATGGTATCTCGTTTTGAGTGATTTCCATTCTTATTTAAAACCTTTTATTTCGATTTTATGTTAAATAATAGGAAACCTTGTTTATTAATTTTTATAATTTTAAACGAAAATCTATATACATTCTGATTAATTTTGTACTTTAACATCATATTTTTAATGTTTTAATATTTTTCAATAATAGATTAAAATACGATTAATTTTTAGGGTGGTATATAGGGATCCTATAGTGGTATATAACTGGTGGCGCCATGTATCGGTACAACAGTGATAACGAGAGGTACTAACAACAAATTGAAAGGAAGTTATTTTGATCTGGTAATTGAAGGTAAATTAGCATATTTTTTTTGGACGTGCATTGTTTTATTGTATATTAATTACCAGATGTCTCATTTCTACATGTAAGTGTTATCCAGTTATGGCATTGTCATGACTAAAAAATATTCGAGAAAATACAATCGGTATATCTCATGTTAATGTTTTCCAACTTTTCACCAATGAATAAAATTTTGACATACAGGGCAATCTGTAACTGATGGTACAAGCGAAAAGGGGGTGATTCTACATGAAAAAATAAATCGAAAATATAGATTCCAAATTTTTCGTTTGAGACTTTGTTTTCGATAAAATCGAATTTGAATTTTCGCAAAGTACACGAGCACTTTATCATGTCTCGTTATAACGGGCCTACGGATTTTTCGGAAATACCCTACGAATTTTTCGAAATTAACCTATATATGTATATAGGTTATTCTTATATGAAAAGTATATATTTTTATTAACCATTTATAAATAATAAAGAATATAAATAAAAATTTATGTTTAGAAATGTAAAACATTGCATCAGTAAAAAAAAACAGCTTTCAGCGCATTTATTCTGTTTTTTTTTATTTGTAGGAGATTATTTCATAACACACGTTACTTTTTATTTTTACGTATAGTGATAATCCATACGATTGAATGTATTATATGTAGAGAGAGAGAGAGAGAGAGAGAGAGAGAGAGAGAGAGAGAGAGAGAGAGAGAGANGAGAGAGAGAGAGAGAGAGAGAGAGAGAGAGAGAGATGAAAGGGAAGGTCAAAGTCAAATGAGACAAGCATCGGTTATGCTTATATCGTTTTGTAAATTCTAGTCTTTGTTAACTACACATAGAAAAACATACCCGCATGATCGGTTGAAGGTTATTAGGAAGGGAGAGGTGACTCGTATATACGAAATCTACTATTTTCATTTTGAACAACGTAGAAATGAGACGTATCGTTTTCGCTCTTCGCGTAAGAATTTATTCCTGCTTAATTAAATTAGATTTTATTATATAATTTGATATCTAATTAATTCTCATTTGATTTTCATATGTATGCAGTCATTATCGATACCGTGAACGTTTTGAAATTAGGTAAAAAGATTTATAACTAAAATTACAAGATCTTATATTTTTCTATGATTTCATAAAATTTTTTACCATAATCTTATTTTTTTATAGTTTTAGAAAAACATTTTAAATAATTAAATATTAAAATAATTAGTATATTTTTTGTTTATAATATAATAAATAAACAGAAGTATGTTGTGAGACTTGTTTTAATTAAATTTTGATTTTCAGAGCTTCAATTGCGATTGCGTGCAATGCAATCTTAGAGTCAGTGTTCATTTCGAAAAAGTTGTATTTTTTGTATGCAATCGCATAGATTGTTTTAAAAATAATTGATAAACAAAGTAGCGAATCGTGTAGAGTTATTTTTCGTCGAAGAAAAATCTATGTCGGTCGTGTTTAAAATCAACGCAAGAATTTCTTAAAAAAACAATTTTCTCGGTGCGTGATCAGATTAAAATATTGTCATTATAGAAAGTATAAATTAACATTCTTATTTTTTTTGACGAATATAGTTTCGTCTGGATAAATTACGGTTAGTATTATTTCGTAATCCTAATTATTAATTTTCATTCATTTTTTAAATCATGATCGTTTTCATTTATGGTTTTTATTCATAAACAATTTTTTGAATTATATGAAACATTAATAATTTTATTTTATATTTTTATTTGCAGATTAATCATCGATTCAACGATTCATCAATACCACGATTCAACGATTCAACGATTCAGCTGCTAATATGTACCAGTATTTTTGCAATAATCACAAACTTTGGCAGCCGATTGCAGCATTGGTAAGTAATTTTTTATTGTTAGAATTTATGTTTAGAAAAACGTGATTGAAATAGGAAGGTGTTACTCGGAAATACCCTGGAGCATGCTTTTTACTTTAGGCTTTTGTATTTTTTTCTTTAATAAATAAATAATATTTCTATATTTATTTCATCTAAAAAAGAAAAAATGTGGACACCACTCTTCATATATTGCCAGGTCGGGGTAACGGTCATTGTAAAAATCTTAAGAAGTTTCACTTTAATCGTGTATGAGTAACACGCGTTTTTTTTTCTATATATTTTTTTAATTTGAAAAATTAGTTTAAACAGTTGATCACTAGCATTTGATATGTACTCCCATTAGGTTCAAGTTGAAGTTTTTGCATCATAGTGGTATATGATAGAATCATGGAATGAATTCAATCAAATCCATAAAATCTTTGATGAATTTGATACTTAGTTTAAAGTTTTATAAACAGCATTTTTTGCACAATCGCGATTTTGTTTTAGAAATATTTGATACAATTCAATATACTTTTTAATAATTAAAATAAAAACATTGCAAGAAAATGTATTACGTTTAACACATTATTTATTTAAATTCATTTTGATTACTCACGTGTTTGTTGCTAGTTATATATCTGAATTCACGCGAAGTTACTTTTCTTTCAAAGTAATTAAATTACTTTCATTTATAAATAAAAGTAACAGTAGAGTCGTCGTTATTTAAATAGTTAGAATTATTTATAGTTTTTAATCTTCAAAAGCGGTAACCTCCACGTGATGAGACCTGAGAACACGATATTATTTTCGGTATAATGTATATTATATTTTGTTGCAAATAATATCAAGTCTGATGGCTGTTTAAATAGGCTTCATTTTTATTAGAAACAAAAAATATAAAATTTGTACAATAAATAACTAAAAGAAATCATTTAAAAAATAAAAGTGCTAGAAGTGTTAACTCACAGATATTATAGAAATAAACTCACGTGTATGTATGTGTCCGTGCATTTTGATTTTTAATAAAATAATATACAATATATAAATATTCATTATATAAAATGTTATCTATATAATTGCAATTTATTTTTGCTAACGTTTAAAATATTTTATATTAAACATACGTTTTTTTTTTTTTTAATTTTTAAAAAATCGTACATAAATCTTACGTTTTTATTTTTTTTTCTCGGATGTTAAAAAAGCTTTGATATTTTCTTTTTTACAATTATATTCCGGTGGACATTGACTTGTAGTTCCGTATTCGATAGCTTTTCGTAGTTCATTTATAGTTTTTTCGTATTTACGTTCGACGGATACTGTCCTGTATAACATAGATACACACATAAATCATTATTTGATATTATATATTATATTTTTATATTAATAATTTAATACGTACTGTGGCATTAGTTTCATTGTATTTAAAAGCATTTCAGCAGCACCCAAATATTCTTTTGCAATATGTGGTTCTTCGCAAGCTGCTCTATACAGACACGTATCACCAATCAGATAACCCAATGCCAAAGCAACTTCTCCTTCGGATATTACATTTTCTATGATATATAGTAAAATATATAGTTAGAGTTTTATATAATAATTAATATTACGTATAGTTAAAATTTATATATTTAATTAATATAATACATATACGAACCTTCATTCAAATCTCGTCCCTTGTAACCATGATTTCCAATATATCCAGCACCAAAAACTACAGCTTTTAATACGAGGAGTAGCAGAAGATTAGATAAATTTAAATTCAGTACCTTTATAGAAAATCAAATAAATAAATACATTTTTTTAAATATCGGTAAATTAATATTCTTTTTTTTTTTAATAAAGACTCAAATAATTTGTTTTTTTTTTTTTTAATTTTTCGAATGAATATAGGATTTACAGTATGATAGTTATTTTTTTTTTGCAATAAAACCTGGTGGATGTGTGCGTATTAGGTATTGTGCATATATATCGGTTAGAATTATATTTATTTATGCAAATTAATTTAAATTCTTGATTAAATTTGTTTTTTTTTTTCATGTAGAGTAATTGTTTCCCTTAAATTCTATCAAAAATGTAAATATTTATAATTTTGTTTACACATTTAAATTGTTCTTATTTAATTTATTTTCGTTTATACTGATTAGTTTTTTTTTCATTTAGTTCAGTAACCCCATTTCCTTCTACAATAGATTTCCATAAAAATAAAATGAATATAATAAGTTTACTCACTTGACTGGTAGTAGTAGATCGTTGCATAAATTCCTTAGCAATTTCGGCTAACATAGATCCACCCTTTTTGTTATTAATTTCTTTACGAAAATCTTGACCATCAGTATTTCGTGCTACTACAGCATAAACCAATAGAAGAATTATTCCAAACGTTTTCCTATCGATGAACATATTTCCAATATTTTATGAAGCTTTTATTATCAATGAAAAAACACGTGTATACAATATTATCAGAAATATATAAATCTAAATTGAGAATAATTAATTAGACAAATAAAACGATTGAAACGATGAAGAACATGTTATAAGAGATATTACTTGTTATAAGAATTTTTTTTTATAGTTAGTAAAGTAGACAAGTTAAGTTGTGTCGCGTAGTATAGTTAAAAGTAAAATGACATTGGTGACAATAGAAAACAGCATTTTTATATACAAAAAGAGAGAGAGAGTCGTGCTTATGGTTTATCGTTAAAGCGTGAAGTCGTGCATTTTATTTGCGTGTATCTAAGCATTTAAAGTGAGAAAGATGGAAAAAGGGATGATAATCAGCATGAAACGTACCATTGTTTTCTCCATTGTGAGTATGTTAGAAGAGCAGGTAATTTGTCGTTAATAATGCTTATTTGTTGTGTCTCGTGCTCGCGTTTCGTTCATAAATGAATAACAGTAGTTTTGTACACTTAGAAGTAACTTTCTTCTTCGAACGTTGACGGAAATAAATGGTGAAAGCTTGATGAGTGAAAACTTTTATATGCCGTAGTATGGATGAAAGAAAGCGTTCGTTTGTCACTTGACGATTAAATGAGAACTTTTCTTATACTTTTTCTTTTTACCTTTTGTACGAATACCAATCTGTCAGATCAACTTTTGTTCGGATCATAGGATACGATATTAGAATACGAACAAAAAGTATTTTTATTTAATGCGATAAAAATGAAGAAAAAAATTAAAAGCACCAGAATCCCGACGATCGTGTCTGTAAAAAAAAAATTCTCTTGAATACTTGAGAGAGAAAAGAATGATATACTCAAAGTACAAGAAGTATCCTTCGAGAAAAAAAATAGAAGGCAGAAAGGAAGGAAATGGCAAGAAAAAAAAAGGAGAGAAAAAAAAGAAAAGCATAGTAAAAGGAAAATAGAAAAAAAGAAAGCTTCGTCTGCGCAAACGCGAAAGTAAACTTCGTGGCGTGTTAGATTCTCACATTTGTAAATTATTAAATAGATCAAGCAGACAAGTTTTCCTTTATCTCTCTTTTTTTTTTCTTTCTCGAATTAAAATTCTGTTAGCGAAGAAACGACGATTGTAATATGAAAGAATAGGAGAGGGTGGAGAAGGAAGAAGAAGAAAAATCCTACGAAACAAGTAGGGATGATTCTTATTTGCGCGCGCATTTTCGAATCCTGTCGTAGAAAGATGCTTTAACTACGTCATTAGAATATTCGATGATCTTATAGCTCGACGGATTGTTCGGTAATTGATACCTTAGTAGATTCTTCTTCATTAATCATGCATTTATTCGAGTACTATTGCGTGCACATTACGCGTTCATAACATTATAACGATTGATCGTACAGTCCAAACTGTTAAATGATGTATCCAATGTACGGAGAAAAATGTAGTCTAAGGAATAAAATTGTCCAAGAAATAAGAATAGGAAGAAGGGGGGTTGGGGTGGGGGTATTAGTAGGTAGTAAAATGTTATCTTCAACTTTTTCTTGCATATTCGATGAACTCCCTTACAACTTGAGCTTTCGCGAAGATTTTAATATTTACGGGTTACCTGTTCACTCTCTTAAACCCCCACTCCTCCTTCCTCTTCCTCCCCTCTCCCTTTTGCTCCACCTTTTTCCTGATCTTTTAGAAGCAACTAGCGCATTATCTTTTTCTGACGTGGAACTTCGATCGAATTTTTTATTATATGATTTATAGATATCATGTATGTTCGTTTTTATTCGTCGACCTTGATATTCTAATAGTAAATGTAAATTAATTTGCTGATATTTTTATAGTCTGATTATATTGAATTTTTTTAAATCTTTTTATATTTTATGATAAATATAATGAATTAACAAAAGATTTTATATTTTCATAAATACACAGTTATATTTGTAAATTGTTTAGTTTAAATAATATGCGACTTTTTTATTGTTCTTATTTTTTAAGTATGAAGTAGGATTGGGAAGATAAAATGACACGTTTCAGGGATTGATATGTTTAATAATATTTTCATAAATTCACAATTACTGATATAGATTTCGTTTGTCTCTAGGTTATTATTTGAAAAATATAAATTACACTGTATATAATAATTATATATAATAATTTTTATTACTCGTTTGTCATAATGATTATTGTCAATTTAATTTCAATCTTCGCTTTTAACTGCATAGAGAACGGATAAATAGCCCATTGATGTTCTAACGACCTGAAGCATAAGTTTTGAAATTATTTTTTTTTTAGCGTCGAGATATTACCGATTTTTTTAAATTTATTAAAATTATACATTATAGAATTTTAGAATTTATTTGAAATGTCTTTTTTATTTGATTACCAATTCGATTAATTTATTAAAATGATACACTTAAAATTGATGTAGGAATTTAGAATCGAATCGAAATAGGTAAAAAGATCGGTAATGTCGACGACATGTTTTTTTTTTTGTTTCTTTCCTTACTTCGCTGAACAGTTCATGATTGAAGGAACAGAACTTTCCAGCTGTAATGCGCAAGGGCGATCTTGCACGACGCATGATCAGTATGAGACATTTTGCTTCGTTCGGTGATAAGTTGTACCATTCGCATTCGTAGGCTGCCGACGCCATTCCTGTACTCTAAAATGAAACATTTGAAAATGATTTACAAACTTAATCGTTTTTAACATCACTTAATGTAATTTTTATAACTTACAAATTAGATATATGAGCCACTTATTTTGAAAGTGGCTTAACACCATTTTCCAAAACAATCGAGTTAGCTACCGTAATAGTTACATTTTTAAATGATTTTTTCATTCTGAAGCAATTTGTTACAAATATATTTAAAATCATGAAGATATTGTAACAAGAACATTTACCGATCAACAGAATGATAAAAAGTTTTTTAATATCTCGATTCAAACATAAATGAAGTTAGGCCACTTTCACAATAAGCGACTCATATACAATATATATTATTTTATTTTTATTTTGAAATAAATTTGATATGAAATATTATATCAGTAATGCCGATTATAAGAATAAAACTAAATTTACCTCTGAAAGAAGTCTTTCTCCTACGTAACAATAAAGATAAAGTTGAACTAGGATATAACAGACGTAAAATGCAGCACATCCGAGTTCTAGCAAGAAGAATTCATCTTTTTCCCCAGTTACCGACTATAACAAAAATTTAGAAAAATTAAATAAATAATTATTTTACATATATATATATATATATATATATTATTTATGTATTATGTTTTACTTCGAGCGTTTGAAAGCTTTCCAAGCATAGAGTTATAGTGCATCCTAACATTTGAATCAGCAACATTATGTTGAAACAATTTTCGATTGTTTCCGTGAATCTTAAAAGAAAAAGAAAAAAAAAACAAAATTAAATTAAATCAAAATTGATTATCATTATTATTAAAAATAATTTGTGAAAACTCGCTTGTTAAGGTAATCGTGTTTTTTCACGATGCGTGCCAATTTCGATTGAAATTCATCCTTCGTTTTACTTTGCAGATTTATCAATTCGTGTCTCAGGTTAGCCAATTGTCCGCAAACGTGTAATACCAAAGTAGCAACGAAAGTATCCACTACGGAATAAGTAGCACAAGCATAAAAGGATCCCATCAATTGTCCGAAAAATGTAAACTCGTAATTTGGCGTAGGTTTAGTTTCCCATGGAAAATAAGCTGGAAAGAAGAGACCACGAGCGCTCGTATAATTTGTTGTCAAATGCATTATGGCATAAATGACTACGAGACTGTTGCACATTATGTTAGCAGTTATGGTGATTTTTCTTGAAATTGTAGCAACTGTCATCATTCTTTTGACATCTTCTTCTTTCGTAGCTTCTTTGCGATCTTCTTCCATGATATTTAACAAACCTTTCAGAGCTTCGACAAGTATGAAAAAAAAGAAATTAATTAATTAGAATTTAGAATTTTTTTTTTAGTTAAAATTGAAATTATTAAATTTCTGTAAAAAAAAAAAGAAAACTTCTTATTTACATTTTCCGCTGCACCAAAAGGCCATAGTCTTCAAAATTGCAATAGAAATAGTCATGTTGTCCATTGATAGATTTTCGACGACCAAATCGAAGTCACCCCAGATGAAGAATAAATTAATGGTTTGCGGTAAACTTACGAAGAAAAACATGAAAAAAATCGCGGAAAAAACCTTTATATTTTCCGATGGATTAAACATCTTTTCTTCTGGCCAAATTCCCATGAATTTCATGCTGTAGACGTTCCACCCACAAGCGTAATCAACGTGCGAACTTTTCTTTACCTCCACTGTTAATTAATTCATTGATCTTAGGTATTGTTATTTATTTTTTTTTTTTTGAGGATCTTTAGAAAAATCGTTTACGATTTTTTTTTCATTCGTTAAATTTTGTTCTATTTTTAAAATTTTTTATTTTTTAATATTTAATAAAGTATTTAGAAAATTTTCGAAAGAAATTTGGATACCTTGATTTTTATCCATCTAAGGCTCTTGCTATAACCATCTATCAAGAACTGTTTCCGAGTGGTTCCTTTCTTATTTGGAAGACCATAAGTTCGGTAACATTCATGGCGCATGCCCTGACAAAACCGACCGTAATACCATATCCTATGATTTATTAATTTCATGTAGGAAATCTTTGGCTTCGGAGTAGTGCGTTCCTAGACGTCGAACTTATTGCTCGACTTATTCATAAAGTATATTTATTCATATTAACATTCATTTCATCAAAATATAAATCTCTACATATACGGAAAAGAGTGACGACGATTTCAATTAAAATATACCAAAATTTGCCATGATTACGATTTAATTAATGTTTCAAATTAAATTACGAGGTAAAACACATCATATGTATTCGTATATATGTTTATATGTATATGTTTTTTTTTATGTGTATAAAATTTCAATGTTAATTAAGTATAGCAGTATATGATTTTTTAATTTTAATATGAAGTTTCATTCATCACTTGTCATAGTTGCACGTAAAACAGACAGATACCCCATTGATGTTTTCAAAACCTGTAATATAAAAATCAAATGTACAATTTGTCTCGTTTTATTAGATACTATTTTTTATTTATTTAAGTATACTTACGCTGCTGTAAAGCTCATGATTCAAAGTACAAAATTTGCCTGCAGTGAGACGCAAAGGTGATCGTGAACGACGGATTATTAATATCAGTGATCTAGCTTCGTGAGGTAATAAATTGTACCAATTACATTCGTATGCAGCACGTGCAACTTCGGTACTCTGAAAGGAATACATTTTTATTCGGTATTTTCATATTTGATTATTATTATTAATATTTTATAATATTTTAGGAAGACCGAAAAGTAATCAAAATTTTTTCTTTGCTTTTTATTTTTTATTTTAAATGTTAATAAACAAAAAAATTTATTCATCATTTTTTAACACTTTTTGCCTTACGTAAAGAAAATTGTTCGATTCCTTTTTTAAAAAGTCCTTGGATTTTTCATTGATATAAACTAAAAGTGAGTGTACTCATTGAAGAAATTTTGATTACTTTTCGATACTCCTAATATTATGAAAATTAAATTATATTTATTATTATCATAAATATTTTATATTATCAGAAAGAAATTTTGTCAATGACTAATATTTCATTCACCTCGGTCCAAAGTTTTTCTCCGACGTAACAGTAGAGATATAGTTGAAGTAAAACAAACAAGATGTAAACACCGAAAAAGAAAATTTCAATTAATGGCATTTTTTCACCTTCTTTGACCATTAACTGAAATTTATAATAGCATTGATTTAATTAATTTTTTTTTAAATAATTTAAATTTTCGTATAGTTAGTGTAATATGTTAATAATTGTAAATAATTATTATTGATATTAGTATTAAATTTTTGTAAAAGTTTATACTAATTTAAAATCTGTTTAAAAATTAATAGAAAAAATTAGATGAATATGTAAATGAAAAAGGAATAAGTTAATTTTATTTTTTGAAAACAAATTTACCGTAAGTTCTTGAAAACATTCCAAACATAATTGCAAAATGCAACTGAGTATTTGAAAGAGTAACATTATGTTGAACTGATCCTCAATCGTCTCGATGAATCTTTAACAAAAAATATATATCTTATAATTGATATCATAATATTAAAATTAATTAACATATTGATTAACAATTAATTAACATACTTGTTCAAATAATCGTGTCTTCTGATGATATAACTTAATTTATTTTGAAATTCTTGACTCGTACCGATATCCAAATGAACCAATTGGTTTTGCAGTCTTTTAAGTTGTCCACAAACGTGAAGAATCAACGTGACTAAAAAAGTATCTACAGATGAATAAGTTACACTATAATAAGTCGCGGCTATCATTTGACCGATGAATTTCAATTCAAATAATGGACTGTCCATTGTCTCGATTGGATAATACGAAGGGAAATATGTAAGTCGACCAAGGGTACGCATTGATAGAATTCTTTGTGCAGTATAAAACGCGATAATACTGTAACAGATAATTGTTGCTCTGGTTGCTATTTTTCTGCTGAATGTAGCATATTTCATCATTTTTTCTTCATCTTCTTTCGTTGACACTTCTTTCCAGTCTTCCTCCATTGCGGTAAGAAGATCCTTTATTTCTTTAATGGTAACGACAAATATTAATTAGAATGAAACTATGAGAACAAAATATTTGCAAAGTGTAACGTGGGTTTGTAGGTGGAAAAGTTTTGAGCCTAACACAGACAAAAATTTGTCTTTTGGTCAAACTTATTTTTATTTCTTGACATAATCTCAAAACTTTTTAACTAATAATCGTATATTTAAGAAAAATATATCAGTAATTGAGCTCGTATCAATCGTTGATCATTTTTTAGGGAACGTGTTATAGATAATAATATTTTTAATCATTTCATCACAGATAAAATTAAAAATGTTTTCTTTAAAAATTGTCAGCCATTTTAACGAGTTTAATTATTCGTGCATTTATCTCAACAGCTATACTTTTTTGTAATTACTAATTTTATAAAAATATTATATTTATGTCTTTTAAAGAAAATAATAGTAAATGAAAAATATTACAGATTCATCGAACACAAAATAAAATTTAAATGTGCGACAAAATAGAACGTGGCGTCTTAAAGGATATGTAATAAATTAAATATATTTACGTCCACCGCTTGACCAGAAGAACATCATTTTAATAAACCCGACTGTTCCATTAATGATGTCCAATGATAAATTTTCCATAATCAAGTTGAAATCATGTCGTTCGATATATAGTAACCAATATTGAGGTATGGTGCAGAAAATGATGATGAAGGCAATTCCTATTAACACTTTATAGCTGGAAAGTCGATCAAGTCTTCTCTCCTCTGGCCAAATTCCAATGAATTTCAAGGTGTATATGTTCCATCCGCAAGCATATTCCACTTGCCAAACTTTAATTAACATAGAGAACATTTAATGAAATCTCATCATTAGATTTCAGATATAAAGTGCGGAATAATTTTGGAAAATATAGAAATTATTTTTGAAATCAAATATTTGGTGATCATAATCGCGTGACTAGAATCAGTAGCAATTTCGAAAATACTATTCAGTATAATGTATTATTCAAATCTGACAAAATATAGCATCGAATTCCAGGAAAAAAAAAAAGAAAATAAATTATATTCACAATGTTCACTTTAACAAATTCATCGTTGACGTTAAATTATGATTAATTGTAATATCATTTATTATTATCATATGAACAGGAATTTTTATTAATTAAAAATTAAAGAAAATATTGAATAATTAAAAAATAAGATAAACAAATTTTTAAATGTATAAACTACCTCGATGAATGCTCATGTTTGTTCTTTTGACAACTTCCTATAAAGAACTGATTCTTTTGTTCGTATATTTTTCTATTTCGCATGATATTACTGTTGAATCATGCATGGCGCATGCTCTATAAAATCGCTGAAATTTTCTGACAAGAATGGCTGCCTAGAATTTTTTTTTTTTAAATCCGATCTATATTGATGCTTTTATAAATTAACATATTTAACATGTGTACAATTTCGATACATGAGATATATTAATTTTAAAAATAATTTATTGTATTGTATAATTTATTCATAGTAATAGTTATTTTTTTAGGGATGGAATATCCTTAAAAGATCCCTCTGTCGTAGAAAATTCTAAGCGATTTGCTATGTTTTGTCTACCATAACTCTCGTGGTTACACTATCATCATACTAGTTGCAACTACAATATGTTAACTTACCGACATGCATTGCCGATATTGCAAATATCTAACAAATCATCTTTTTAATATAGATAAAATTTAATACCTACAAATAAAAGAGATTTTTATAAGATTATTGAGTAGTAATTAAATTAATTTTTTCTCTTTTAAGGTTCCTAATTACAAATTTAGTTTTGTAGATGATTCATAGCACAATCAACAATGTACAATATATATGTACAATAGTAATAATACGTTTCTAGATGAAGGATTTTATTTTTTGAAATACACACTTCTATTGTCGATTTATTTGGCTAAATATTTTTTTTTTTGTTGCAAAAATATTACTAGACTTTAAAATGATCATAGTAGTTTGTTATAATCATTCTTATGTTAACTAATTCTCATACTTTGCTTTAATACGTTTTGAACTATTGTTTAAGTAAATTTAAATAGATTTAGGAAATTACAGCTAAACTATGCATAAAATATAATCTACATATTTTGTTGTTAGAATAAAATCGGGAAAATATTATTCGTCTTTTATCATGGTTGTACGTAAAACAGACAAATAACCCATTGATGTTTTCAAAACCTGTAATATAAAAATCAAATGTAAATGTGTCTCGTTTTAATAGATATTATTTTTTATTTATTTAAGTATACTTACACTACTGTAAAGTTCATGATTTAAAGTAAAAAATTTGCCTGCAGTTAGACGAAAAGGTGATCGTGCACGACGGATTATTAATATCAGTGATCTAGCTTCGTGAGGTAATAAATTGTACCAATTACATTCATATGCAGCACGAGCAACCTCAGTACTCTTAAATACACTTTCAATTGAAATTTTCATTTTTTATAACAAATAATAAATATTTCAATTATACTGATATTGACAAACCTCTGTCCAAAGTTTTTCACCGACAAAGCAGTATAGGTATAATTGTAGTAGAACGTAGAACGCGTAGAATGCGAAAAAAAACATTTCTACCAATGGCATCTTTTCACCTTCACCAGCCATTAACTAAAATTAATATTAGTTTTAATATGTTTAATTTAACACGTTTCGTGTTAAAGCCCTTTTTATCTGACTTGTCATTCAGGCCATTTAATTTTTTTCTAATCAAATCAACCATTACATGTAATTATTAATTATTGTAAATATAACAATTAAACAATTAAACTTATGTGCTTAGTTCTATACTGCATTTTGCATAATGCACTAATATTTTAATAAGAATATTTGCGTACAGAATTAAATTTGTTATAAATATATATTTTCAGTGCATAAAATAAATATATCTAATGATAAGTGTACCACCGGTGGTACACGTGGAACGGAACGTGTTAATTAGTTGAAGAGTAGAATCTTTAGGATTATTAAAATACCTTAAGTCCTTGAAAACATTCGATGCATAATTGCAAGGTACAACCAAGCATTTGAAAAAGTAGCATTAGGTTAAACTGATCCTCAATCGTATCAACGAACCTTGAAAAAAATTAATTAATTTTATATTTAATTATAGAATTAAAACTAATTAACAATTACCTTTTTAAATAATCGTGTCTTCTGATGATGTAACGCAACTTATTTTGAAACTCTTGTCTCGTGGTAGAATTCAAATGAATCAAATTATCTTGCAACCTTGAAAGTTGTCCACACACGTGAAGTATCAACATTGCTAAGAAAGTATCAACCGCAGTGTATACCGTTGTATAATAAATTGCACCAATAGTTTGACCGATGAACGCCAATTCGTATATTGGACTGGAAACAGCATTGAATGGATAATACGATGGAAAAAATGGAAGTCGACCTTCAGTACGCATAGACAAACATCTTTTAAAAATGTAAACTGCAATAAGGGCATAGCACAGTTCGGTTGTTCTCGATGCTAAAATTCTGCTGAATCTTGCGAGTTTTATCATTTTTTCTTTTTCATTTTTCGTTGATACTTCCTTCCAATCAATTTCCATCGAGGATAGAAGATTATTTATTGCTTTGATCGAAATAATAAATAAAAATAAGTATAAAAATATAGAGAATGAAATTAGATAGGATTTTTTAAGTTTCTATTTTTAGTTATGTGTTTTAAAAAAAAATTTAGAGTGCATATTAAATTTTATTTAATTTTTTAAGAAAATTTGAGTGCAAATAAAATTGTTATTTAATTTAAAAAAAAAATTTGAGTGCATATTGAACTGTTATTTAATTACAATTATATTTTACTAAAATAAATCTTATTGATTAATATTTTTAAAAAAGAATTTTTAACTATTAAGTAATGAACATTGAGTGACAATTTAAAATTGTAAGAATTTTAAATTGATACGAAATAAATGAAATGTTATTTACGTTCTCCGCTTGACCAGAAGAAGATCATTTTTATAAACGCAATAGTTCCATTAATGCCGTCCAATGATAAGACATCAATAACTAATTCGAAATCATGACGATCCATATAAAGTAGCCAGTATTGAGGTATAGCGACGAAAATTATGATAAAGGCAATCGCTATTAACACTTTATAGCTGGAAAGTCGATCCAGTCTTCTCTCCTCTGGCCAAATTCCAATGAATTTCATGGTATAAAAGTTCCATCCGCAAGTGTATTCAACTTGACAAACTTTTTGTTAACATAAATCCCATTAATATTATTACATTAGATTTTCAGTTATAAGATGTGTAATCATCTCGACAAAAAATACTGGAATTATTTTGGAATCACACATATTCGGTGATCATGTTCGCGTGACTATAACCAGTAGCAATTTTGAAAGTACTATTCAGTATAATATATTATTCAAATCTGACAAAATTTAGTATCGAATTCCAACAGACAAAAAAAAAATTATATTCACAATATAAAAAATTCACTTTACAAAATTCATCGTTGACGTTAAATTATTATTATTAATTATAGTACCGTTCATTATATATGATCAAGAATTTAAATCAAAAATGAAGGATAATTTTTAGAAATATTTAATAAATAGGGAGGAACAAATTTTCAAACGATAAACTACCTCGACGATTGCTCATGTTTGTTCTTTTCCCAACTTCTTATAAAGAACTGATTCTTTTCTTCGTTTCTTTCCCATTTCGCATGATATTACTGTTAAATCATGCGTGGCGCATGCTCTTTGAAATCGTTTAGATTTTCTGACAAGTATGATGATCAAGATTTCTTTTTTTAAATTAATATTTTTATTATATACATAATCTTGATATATGAGATACTATTATTTTTAGAATAATTTTATTCTGTTGTATAATTTATTGATACTTTGGTGTACGAATTATTTTTTAGGGAGAAATATCCTTAAAAGATCCCTCTGTTGTAGAAAATTCTAAACGATTTGTTATACTTTGTCTACCATAACTCTTGTGGTTACACTATCATCATACTAGTTACAACTAGTTGCAATATGTTAACTTACCGACACGCATTGCCGATATTGCAAATATCAAACACATCTTCTCTTTAATATTGATGAAATTATATATCTAAAAAAATCCTAATTTTATGAGATGGTAAAAATGAAGTAATTGATCATATAAAAAAAATATTACATCAGGTTATAATATTGCTTTTACTATTCTCTAAAAATAATTTATATTTAGAAAAGTATTTTAAACTATGAATACAACGCTTATATTTATTTTTTAGCAATAAACTCTTGAATTAAAATACGTAACATGAAAAAATAATACATGATTTATTATACTGGAATAAAAAAAAAAAAAATATGTTAATCAAATAATAACAATTTATCAATGCATAAAAATAAATTATAAAAAATTCATTTGTATTATTTAAATTATTTTTTGTATTATTGGAAACGTAATAGTTGTTAGTTTATTTTTTTTTAAGATGAATAGTAAACATCACAGATCAAGCTTTCTCATTGACAGGTTTTTGGTAATGTAATCTATAACAATTTTAATTTATATTAGAGTTCAAACTTTTGTTTCAACAAAGTTTCAACAAAAGTTTCAAATATTAATAATAGATAATAAAAGATCTCAAATATTTTCATTGTGTGTTTAAGTATTCCAATCAGAAATGTTATCCACATAGGGAAACTTTTGTATTATGTTCGATCAGATAAGTTGTAATAATAGTTTAATTATCAAAAAATATAATTAATAGTGCATTGATGATAATAATAAGTTAGAATTAATTTAGTAATTATACAATTCTAATTTTGTATCTTTCAGGATACATAATTAAAATTTTTATTTCCTTGTTTATTAATAGTAAGATCAAATTATAGATGTAGCATCCAATTTTGATGTATAATATAGTAATTATTATGATTGTATTGAACAAATTTTTGTATAGTGAATTATTTGATACTTTGAATTATAGTTTCAGTTATTACGTTTGTTGAAAATTATTTAATTAATTTTATTTAGTAATAATTCAATATTAATTTATAATATTATATTATAAATTAAATACTAATTTAATTAATATTTAATTAATTAATTATTTATTAATGTATTAGTTTTTTTATTAATTATTAACTTCATAATTTTTGTTAGTAATTAATAAAGTATCTTACCAAAAATACTCAGGAACATTAAACAGTATTTGCAATTATAATATGCCACAAAATAATTAGCACATCTTCCCACCAATCTGTAAAAAAACATTTACCAAAAAATAGTTAGAAACAATATGAAAACATAATCACTAATAAAAAAATATTTTAAAGTGATTGATAAATAGAATTAATTTAAATACAAATATCTGTATAAAAAATTGTATTTCTTGTAATAAAAAAAAATTCGTTACATTAATTAATTTATTGTGTAATTAATACCTTAAGATCTTCATGCTGCAAGGATTCCAGCCATAAGTGTAGACCAGGTTGAAAACTTCAATGCACATTGAACACGCATTTTTAAGTCCTATAGAAGAAGATGCTTCAACTACGTCATTAGAATATTCGATGATGTTATAGTTCTACGGATTATCGTAATTGATAGTTTCATTGGTTTTTCTTTATTAATTATGCATCTATCAAATGGTATTGCGTGCACTTACGCATTCAAGACACAATGACGAGTGATCAAAGTTCAAGCTGTTAAAAAATGTATACAAATTTTATAGAAAAATGTTATCCAAGGAATACGAGTTTAAAAGAAATAGAAATGCAGAAGTGTAGTCGGAGGAAGAAAAATTCGAAGAGGAGAGGGTGGTAGTAGAAAACGTGGAGAAGATTATTAGGGGTGGTAGATGTTAGGTAGAATAATTTTATTTTCAACTTTGTGTTGCATATTCAATGAATTTGTGCATCCTTTATGCGTAACACACGTATTATTATATTTTCAAATGAAATTTTTATCAAATTTTATATCATATGATTTATAAATATTCTTTTAAAGTAGTTCTTGAAGTGTAGATTAAGTTTATTACATTTTAAACGTGATAAGAATTAATTTATTTTGTATTTAGTAATAAAATATAAATTAGGGTTATTATATGAAGTAATAATACGTTTCCAGTTAAAGGATTTTATTTCTTGAAATACACAATTCTATTGTCGGTCTATTTGGCTAAGTATTTTCTTTTGCAAAAATACGACTAGATTTAAAAAAAATCATATTAGTTTGTTACTTGTTTGTTGTAACTATTAACTAATATTTTTATAATACGCTATAAGGCATATGTTTTTCAACTATTGTTTAAATAGATTAAAAACGGGTTTCGGGAACTAGAGCTAAACTACGAATAAAATATAATCTACATATTTTTTGTTGTTGTTGAAAATATTCAACTTTAGGATGGTATATTAATTTCTATTTTTAAAATTAAATCAGTAATACTATTCATCTTTCATCATTGTAGTACGTAAAACAGATAAGTATCCCATTGATGTTTTCAAAACCTGCAATATAAAAATCAAGTTTACAGGTGTCTCGTTTAATTAAAATTTTTTATTTATTTAAGTATACTTACACTGCTGTAAAGTTCATGATTAAAAGTACAGAATTTGCCTGCAGTAAGACGCAAAGGTGATCGTGAACGACGGATTATCAATATCAGTGATTTAGCTTCGTGGGGTAATAAATCATACCATTTGCATTCGTAAGCAGCACGTGCAACCTCAGTACTCTTAAATGACATACTATTTAATATTTTATATGGAATACATTTTTAAAATTATAATATTAGCTAACCTCTGTCCAAAGTTTTTCACCGACATAGCAGTATAGGTATAATTGTATTAGAACATAGAATACATAAAATGCGAAAAAAAGCATTTCTATCAATGGCATTTTTTCACCTTCACCAGCCATTAACTAAAATTAACATTAATAATATAATATGTTTAATTTAATTAGTTAAAGAGTAGAATCTTTAGGATTATTAAAAGAATACCTTTAATCCTTGAAAACATTCCATGCATAATTGCAACGTACAACCAATCATTTGAAAAAGGAGCATTATGTTGAACCTGTCTTCAATCGTATCAACAAACCTTAAAAAAAATTTATTAATTTTATAATTGATCATAACATATTAACCAATTAAAAATTACCTGTTTAAAAAATCATGTCTTCTAACGATGTAACTCAACTTATTGTTAAATTCTTGTCTCGTGGTAGAATTTAAATTAATTAGATTTTGTTGTAGCCTTGAAAGTTGTCCACACACGTGAAGGATCAACATAACTAAGAAAGTATCAATTGCTGTATATACTGTTGTAAAATAAACTGTACCAATCGCTTGACCGACGAACGTAATTTCGAACATTGGTGTAGTCAACGAATCAAATGGATAATATGATAAAAAAAATCGAATGCGACCTTCGTTACGTATAGCAACGCATTTTTTTACAATGTAAACCCCGATAAGGGCATAACTTATTTCTGTAGCTCTCGTTGCTAAAAGTCTGCTCAATTTTGCTAGTTTCATCATTTTTTGTTCTTCCTTTTTTGTTGACACTTCTTTCCAATCAACTTCCATTGCGGTAAGGAGTCCCTTTATTGCTATGATTAAAATGATATATAAACAATAATTATGGAAATGTGGAAAAAAATAATCAAATTTAATATGTTTCTTTAGATTTCTATTATTTATCATGTCATTAAAATAACTATAATATATATTAACTTTATTGAATTATATTTTGTTTCAAATAAATTTTATTAATATATATTTAAAAAAAAATTGTTTAAATATAAGTTAAGTAGAACTTAAGATAATACAAGTTTTAATTAACTTTATTGTTATTATTTAATAAACTATTTTATTACCTGTATTGAATTATACTTTGTTAAAAATAAATGTTATTGATACATATTTACAAAAAAAAAAATTGTTTAAATATTAATTAAGTAAAAATTGAGATTGTGTGATTTTTAATTGACATGATAAATAATAGGTGATTTATATAAATAAAATTTATTTACTTTCTCCACTTGACCAAAAGTAGATCATTTTTATAATCGAAATAGTTCCATTTAAATTGTCAACAGATAAATTTTCCATAACTAAGTCAAAATCATGACGATCTATATAAAGTTGACAGTATTGTGGTATAGTGCAGAACAAAGTGATTATGGCAATCCCTATTAAAACTTTATAACTTGAAATACGATCGATCCTTCTCTCCTCCGGCCAAATTCCAATGAATTTCATGGTGTATAAGTTCAATCCGCAACCGTATTCGACTTGCCAAACTTAACATATATTGAATGAATATAATTATACTAAATTTCAGTTATATAATGTGTGTGCAATGATTTCGAAACAAAAAAAAATACTGGAATTATTTTTGAATCACACATATTTGGTGGTCATGATCGCGTGACTGTATAAACAGTTGCAATTTCTAAAGTACTATTCAGTATAATATATTATTCAAATCTGACAAGATTTAGTATCGAATTTGAGGAACAAAAAAATAAGAGAGACAATAAATTATATTCACGATATTCACTTTACTAAATTCATCATTGTCCTTAAATTATGATTAGTTTTTGTATTATTATCGTATGAAAATGATATTTCAATCAATTAAAATATGAAAGGAAAAATTGTTAAAAATAAATGATAATGAGGAACAAACTTTAAATTGATAAACTACCTAAACGATTGCTCATGTTTGTTCTTTTGACAACTTTCTATCAAGAACTGATTCTTTTCTTCGTTTCTATTCCATTTCGCATGATATTACTGTAAAAATCATGCGTGGCGCATGCTCTTTGAACTCACTGAGATTTTCTTACGAGATTGACTATCAATTTTATTTTTAATTCTATCGAGATTCATTCATAAATTAACATATTTAATAAATGTACAATCTCGATATATGATACATATTTATTTTTAAAATAATTTATTGATGATTTGGTATTGTAATATTTATTTTTTAGGAAGGAATATCCTTAAAAGATCCCTCTGTCGTAAAAAACCCTAAACGATTTGCTATACTTTGACTACCTCTTGTGGTTACCCTAACATCATACTAGTTGCAACTAGTTGCAATATGCTAACTTACCGACATGCATTGCCGATATTGCACATATTATATAAACACTTTTTTTTTAATATTGGTAAAATTAAATACCTAGGAAAATTGTAATATTATATAATATAATATAATATAATAATTTTTATAATTTTATTATAATAATTGTTTATTTAATATAATATAATTTATATCTAATAAATATTTTAAACTGCTAATACAAAGCTTACACTTAATTTTTAGTAATAAAATTGAATGTGAAGATACGTAACATGAAAATAAAAAAAATATAATATATATTATACTTGAGTTATAAAAAAGATTGATCAAATAATAACCACCAATCGTTGATACGATAAATTATCTTTCTATTATCAGACACCCAATAATCCTTTAAGACAAGGAATGATCTTCTTTGAGACACGCAATTAACACATATCATATTTCCCTCTGACAGGTTTTTGGAAAAGTAATCTATAACAACTCTAATATGTATTACAGTTCAACCCTTTGTAATATGACGGTGAATAGCATTAACACGCTGAGTGGTATTAAGATAGGGGTAATTGAATTCTCGATGAAGTTATCTTTCCTCTCAAAAGATCCCAAATGTTCTCATTATTTAAGCATACTAATCATAAATGTAATCCACATAGGGGAAACTTTTATATTATTGTTGTTCAGTCAAGTGTTAATTTTAGTTTAATTACCGAAATGAAATATCTCATGATTTTAGGATAATAATATTTTATTGTATTAATTTTTGTTCAATAATTTATTACGAATCTTACGAAAAATATTTGAAAACATCAAACAGCATTTGCATCAGTGTAACAAGTTATAAATAGTATTTCATATTTATACAGGAATCTGTAAAAAAAAAAAATATTAATCGATAAATAGTTAGAAATGATACAAAATCATAATAATATATAAAAAATAATTTTTTAAAATGATTTATAATGAAAATAATTTTGATAACATATATCTGTATAAAAAGTTGTACTTTTTTTTTTTTTTTTAATCTAATAATTAAATACCAGATGAATTTGTTGTTTAGTAATTTTCTTCATAATTTTATGGTGCAAGGATTTCAGTCATAAGTGTGAAACACGTAGAAAACTACAGCTTACGCATTTTAAAGTCCTTTAGAAGGAGAGATATGTTTCAAAAAATACGTCTTTAGAATATTTGATGATGCTATAGCTCGACGGATTGTCGTAATTGATAGTTTCATCGGTTCTTCCTTTATTAATCATGCATTTATGGTGTAGTATTGCGTTCCCTTCGTGTTCAGGTCAATATGACAAGTGATCGGAGTCCACAAGCTGTTAAAAAATGTATTTAAAGTTCGGAAAAAAATGTTTTCCAAGGAATAAGGGTGTAAAAGAAGTAGCAATATAAAGGTGTAGGATGAATAGGGTGGTGAAGGACGTTGAAAAAAAAGAATTAGTTGGGGATGGGATAGATGTTAGGAAGAAACATTTTCTTTTTTATCTTTAACTTTACGTTGAATATTCAATGATTTTGTACATCCTTTAAACGTAACACACGTATTATTATTTTCCTAAAATGAATTTTCCATCGTGTTTTATAGCATATACGGCTTATAAATATTCTTTTAGGATAGTAGTAGTAGTATCACTTGAAATTTAAATTAGTTTTGCTGAATTTTAAACGTGATAAGCATTACTTTTCTTTTTTCTTTTTTTTTTTTTTCGTTTTTAATAAATTATTAATGAGGTTTTGAATGAGGTAATAATACGTTTCCACACGAAGGATTTTATTTTTAGAAATACACATACTCCTATTGTCAATCTATTTGGCTAAATATTTTTTGTTTTTGTTTTTGTAAAAATACAATTAAAATTTAGAATAATCATAATATTTTGTTCCTCATTCGTTATAATTATTTTTATGTTAATTAATTATCGTAGTTCATTCTAAGGCTTATTTTTTTGAACTATTGTAAGTTTAGATATTTATATTATAGTAAAACTACGAACAAAATATAATCTACATATTTTGTTTTGAAAAATATTCAACTTTAGGATAATATAGTAATTTATATCATTAGAATAAAATCGTGAAAATATTATTCATCTTTTATCATGGTCGTACGTAAAACAGACAAATATCCCATTGATGTTTTCAAAACCTGCAATATAAAAATTAAGTGTACAACAAGTGTCTCGTTTTTTAAGATAATATTTTTTGATCAACTTAAGTATAATGATTACTTACGCTACTGTAAAGTTCATGATTAAAAGTACAGAATTTTCCAGCGGTTAAACGTAAAGGTGATCGTGAACGATGTATTATTAATATGAGTGATTTTGCTTCGTGGGGTAAAAAATCGTACCATTTGCATTCGTAAGCAGCACGTGCTACCTCGGTACTCTTAAATGACATATTACTTATTGATATTTTAATATTTTATAGGGTACAAATTTTGGAAATTATTATCTAACCTCCGTCCAAAGTTTTTCACCGACATAGCAATATAAATATAATTGTAGTAGAACATAGAATACGTAAAACGCAAAGAAAAACATTTCTATCAATGGCATCTTTTCACCTTCACCAGCCATTAACTAAAACTCATATTAGTGTTAATAATTTAAAATGAAAATTTTATACGAATTATTAAAATGTTACCATGAGTCCTTGAAAACATTCCATGCATAATTGTAACGTACAACCAAGCATTTGTAAAAGTAGCATTATGTTGAATTGATCCTCAATCGTATCGACGAATCTTAGAAAAAAAATTAATTAAAATTATCATTGATCATAAAATGATCATTAATTAACAATTACCTATTTAAATGATCATGTCTTCTAACGATGTAACCCAATTTTTTTTTAAATTCTTCTCTCGAAGTAGAATTTAAATTAATCAGATTATCTTGCAATCTCGAAAGTTGTCCACACACGTGTAAAATCAACATTGTTAAGAAAGTATCGACTGATGTATAAGCTGTTGTAAAATAAACTGCACCGATCACTTGTAAGATGAATGTCAATTCAAACATTGGACTGCTCAAAAAATCATATGGAAAATGTGATGCAATAAATGGAAGTCGTCCTTCGGTACGCATTGACAAACATCTTTTGACGATGTAAACTGCGATTAGTGCATAACTTATTTCGGTTGCTCTAGTTGCTAAAATTCTACTGAATTTTGCTAATTTCATCATTTTTTTTTCTTCCTTTTTTGTCGACACTTCTTTCCAATCAATTTCCATTGCAGTTAGGAGTCCTTTTATCGCTTTCATTGCAAAGCGTTAAATTAAAAATAAATATGAAAATGTAGACAATTATAATAATTAAATTTGAAATTGTTTAAGTTGAATTTTTCATTAGTTTTCAAAAAATTATATAGTTGATTTCAAGTTTAAATATATTAAAAATAAACATGGAAATGTTAACAATAATAATTAAGTTTGATATAATTGTTCAAGTTTAATTTTTTGGCAATTTTTTTTTTTCAAAAAAATTATCTAATTTGTTTCAAATTTAAATATATTAAAAATAAGTATGGAAATGTAGACAATAATAATCAAATATATCAAATAATATCAAATAATCAAATTTGTTTAATTTTTCGCGTCATTTGTTTTCAAAAAATTATAGTTCAATTCAAATTTAAATACAATTATAATTTGAATAAAATGTTTAATTATCAAATTTGAGATAACAATTAATTGTAACCTGTAACTTATGTGATTTTTAATTGACGTGATATTTAATAGTGCATATAGAAATAAAAAATGTATTTACGTTCTCCACTTGACCAGAAGAAAATCATTTTTATGAACGCTATAGTTCCATTTAAATTGTCAACCGATAAATTGTCCATAACCAAATCGAAATCTTTTCGATCGATAAATAACTGCCAATATTGTGGTATCGTGCAGAAAAATACGATGAAGGCAATCCCTATTAAAACTTTGTAACTTGAAATTCGATCGAGTCTTCTTTCCTCCGGCCAAATTCCAATGAATTTCATGGTGTAAAAGTTCCATCCGCAAGCGTATTCCACTTGCCAAACTTTCGTTTGAACATAGGTCGCGTTAGTATAATCTTATATTAGGTTTCAGTTTATAACGTGTGCAATGATTTAGGAAAATACTGGAATTATTGAGAATTACATATTTGGTGGTCATGATCGCGTGACCATAACCAATCCGATCAATATGATTTATTATTCAAATTTGAAAAAATTTAACTATCCCGTTTGAAAAAAAAACAAATAAAATTGTATTCGTGAAAAGCACTTTAAAAATTTTTATGTTATTTTTAAATAATGTTTGATCTTCGTACCGAACAATTTTATCATTTATTTAATGATAACAATACAAATTAAAAAAAAAAACAACTTTTTTTTTAATTAAATAAAAATAGTTGGGGGAGATTAATTGAAAAAAAAAAAGATAGTGGAAATAATTTGATAACAATTTCTACCTCGATCAACAACGCTCATGTTGCTTCTTATGACAACCACCTCGTATCAAGAACAACTGATTTCTTTTGTTCGTATTTTTTGCATTTCGTATAATATTATTCTGGAATCATGCTTGGCGCATGCTCTATGAAATCTGCTATTGTTCTGCATGGATCAACTGTTTAGATTTATTTTGACTGCATTTATAAATTTATTTATGTAACATTTATTAAATATGGACAAATGAGATTTTTTTTGTAATGAAAGGTTTTATTGTTTTATAGAATTAGGATACTTTTTCATATATATGTATGTATATATATATATATATAGTATTTTTTATGAAAGAGTATCCTTAAAAGATCCCTCTATCGTAAAACACCCTAAGCGATTTGTTGTATGCTTGCGTGCCACAACCCTCATGGTTACACTCTCTGTCATCATTTTAGCTAACACTAGAGTATGTTAACTTACCGACACGCATTGTCGATATCACAAACATCTAACAGAATCTTTCCCTTTTTAAATATTAGCAAAATTGAGAATACTTTGGAAGACTTAGATTTTTGTTTGTTGTATCATAGGAATGATATAATCAATAACTTTTTTAAGAAACACAATAAGCTCATTAAAATATAGTTAAATATTTTATAACATTGTGAATAGAACAAATTCTTTTGTAATACATATTACTACTTTTCAACATTTGATTGTACATTGAAATACATTCATTTAATTCATTCAGCATTTCCTACATTCATTGCATGCAGTAACGACAAGTAACTCATTGATGTCTTCAAAATCTACGATACACGTATTATAATCAATTATTTTGTTTTTTTAATTTGATATACGAGGTTGGATCGAAAAGTTTTCATCCTTAACAAATAAAAATTTCAATTTTGTGTTTTTAATTAAAAATAAATTTGATTGAAATAACTTTTTCCTATATTAACCCCTTAACACACAATTTTTTTTGAAAAAAAACCGGCTAAAAAAAACACAATTTTTTTTTATGTAAAAAAACACAATTTAGAATATTGTCTTGGCAAAAAAATTTAAAAAATACAAAATTAATCAAAATTTTTGTAGCAACATAGAATACAACGCCGAATTAACTCGAGCGTGCAACTTAAGGGGTTACACTGAAAACTTTTCAACAAATATACTTGTACAAATGTATTATATTTTTACTTACACTACTAAACAGATTATGACTGAACTGACAAAATTTACCAGCTGTAATTTGCAGAGGTATTTTTGCTCTAAGCATAATTATCATTAATGATTTAGCTTCATTGGGTGGTAAAGTATACCATTTACATTCGTATATAGCATCGATAATTCCAATACCCTATAATAAATTATTTTTTTTTATCTTCTCTTAGGATAATTATTTAAAATAGAATCATTTACCTCGGAAAGTAATCTTTCACCAATATAACAATACATATACATTTGAAGTAAAATATATGTTAAATATACCATAAAGAATGCTAATTGAACGGACATCATATTATTGTTTCCTCCAATTGACTAAAATCAAAAATACAATCATTCAAATTTTTTAAAACAATTTTTCAATTAAACAAATGTAATAGTTTTTAACAAAAACATCTCACCGATGTTGCCAAAAAACATGTAACACAAAGTAAAATCGTACAGCATAACATTTGTAACAATAACATATCATTAAATTGTTCCTCGATCGTCTCAACAAATCTGCAAAATAAAAAAAATTGAAGAAAACATTACGCGAATGATTAAAAAATAATGAAAATTTTTTTATAAAAATCATACCTATTTAAAGCATTGTGTTTTTTAACAATTTGTGTTAACTTAGTTTGAAAATCATCGTCAGTTTTGATACAAACGTTGCGTAATCGTTGTTCCAAATTTTCATATTGTCCGCATGCGTGTAGCACCAAAGTAACCACAAAAGTGTCAACACCTGTATAAGTTCCTCCAGTGAAGTATGCAGCTGTCATTTGAGCGACAATGGTTAGCTGATAATTCGGTGTCTTTTGAAAGTTGTAAGGAAAATATGAACGCAATATTAAAACACGTCCTGCGATGTAAACTAAAAGAATTTGTAGAATGATGAGTATAAGAAGAAGCGTGTAATACGTTAAAATTAATGCTGCTGATAATCTTCTGCAAATTTTTGCTATTCTCATCATCCTTTTAACTTCTTCTTCGGTACTCGCTTCTTTTCGATCTTGTTCCATACTTTTTAACAGCGGACGAATGGCTTCACAGTATTTACAATTCATTTAAAAGAAAAAAAAAAAAAAAGAAAAAGGAAAAAAGAAAATTAATCTTTAATTAAATTAATTAATATAATAATTATTAAATTAATATTAATTTAATAATTATAATAAAAAATAAAAATATTAAAATTTATTTTAAATACTTTGATTTTTTAATCGAAAATAGAATAAAATAATTGACGGAAAATAATAAGAAAAAAGAAAAATACGAAAGCAAATTAAAAATTAAATCGTATAAGAATTTAATGTGAAATATTATAATTAATCAAATAATTAACGAAGAAGAATAAGAATAAATTAAAAAAGGCGAATTATCAATAAAATTGTATAAAAACTTAATGTAAAATGTTTCAATTGAAATAAGACGTATAATAATTACATTCTCCGTTAAACCAAAAGATGATAGTCTTCAAGACGGATATGAACACGACCATGTTTCCAATTGACAAATTTTCAACCATAGAATTAAGATCACCCCATATATAGTAAAGATCAAACGTTTGTGGTATATTGATGAATACTATCATCATACCGAGTGGCATTAAAACGACGTAACTTGATAGTCGATTAAATCTTCTTTTCTCAGGCCAAATTCCCAAAAACTTCATGGAGTAAAGATTCCAGCCACAAATGTAATCCACGTAGGAAACTTTAATACGTTTTACCGATCGATGAATAATTAATAATCATTTATAAATATATTATTAAATTATAATATTATTTTTTTTTTGAATGATATTTAATGAAACTAACGATGTGTACGAACTATTGATTGATGATGAATTTGATGGTGTTTTTTTTTTTTCTTATCTTTTTGTTTCTTTTTGGTAATTTTTATTTGTTCAATAATTTCATTGTACCTTCAGGCTTATCATCCATCTGTAAGCTTCTGTCACAACGACGTAACGAGAACTGATCATCCTTGTTTAGTATACTTCTATTTGAAGAAATATTTTCTAGCGCATGCTCTATGGGAATTATACTTGCTATGTTATGTTATCTACGTACTTAAAATTAATATTTATTTTTAATATCGTTAATATAGTTTTCATTCGTAAAATTGTTAAATACCATGTATACTTTTTAGTTGTCGATTATGGTCTACGTTTATTTATAAAGAAATATATTTTTATTTGTACACGTTTAAATCCTATAGCTATTTTTATGGTCATACGAAACAGATCCCTCTATGGTGAAAGTTTCTAAGTAACTTGCTATTTTATATATTGTTGCTCTAGTGGTTATGTTGATCTAACATAAGATTTACGGAAATTTTGTTGTGTGTTATCGACGATGTAAACTTGTTATCAGCATTAAGTATTTTCAGGTAATGTTTTTAAATATAAATCAATATATATGAATTAACAATTATGATCAGTAAATTTCATAAGTTTTATAATGCATGTTTTGAGTATTACCTATTTTATATATTTTTAAGTAGATGTAATAGTTGATTTTAGAGTAAATTTTAAATATAAACACATAGTGTAACTATAAATCAATGTAAAAGAAATATTTGTTGATTATGATTAAAAAGTTATATGTTTTATAATTACCTTTTTTTTATATGCAAATTCTAATAATTATTTATTTGTTAATGTATAATTTTTTATATTCAATTTGATTTATTAAAAGACAAAAATTGTACCATTCAAAATTTACTGAATCGTTTGCTTAACATAAATTATTTTGAAAGGGATATGGGAATTACATAATTAAAAATTTAGTTTAAAAAATAATAATCAATTTCATAAAATATAATTAATTATTTTAATAACTTACTTAAATTGGTAAAATTTAAAACGTTTTATTCTGCATTTACTACATTCATCGCGTGTAGCATTGATAAATAACTCATCGATGTTCTTAAAATCTGCACATTGAATAAATTTTCTTGTTTTACGAATAACTATTCGAGATAAATAAAATATATCTAATATTGTAATACTTACATTGCCAAAAAGTTTATGACTAAACGAACAAAATTTTCCTGCAGTTATGTGAAGTGGTATTCTTGCTCGTAACATAATAAACATTAATGATTTAGATTCATTAGGTGAAAAATGATACCATTGACATTCGTACACTGCATCGACAATTCCAATGCTCTATTATTAAATCAAACATCATAATTTAAGAATAATATTTAACAAAAATAAAAAGAAACTAATTGATTACCTCTGAAATAAGTTTTTCACCAATATAACAGTACAAATAAATTTGAAGCAAAATGTATATTAAATAGAATCCGTAAAAAAACATTTGTATAAAAACCATTGTATTACCATCTTTAAGGACCTATAATAATAATAATAATAATAATAACTATAAATTAATGTAAATTACTTTTTTTTTTTTAGAAATCTATTCGAAATCTTACCAAAGTTGTTTGGAAACACGTAACGCAAAGTTGTATCGAACAACCGAGCATTTGCAACAGTAACATGCCATTGAATTCTTTCTCAATTGTATTAACGAATCTATAAAAAGAAAGAAGAAAAAAAAAACAAAATAATTATTATAAAAAGTTTGTCAAAATAAATTATGAACAAATTAAATTACTAAACAAACATAATACCTGTTTAAAGAATCGTGTTTTCGTACAATTTGAGCAAGTTTAATTTTAAACTCGTAATCATTTTTCGGACACAAATTTTGAAGTTGTTGTCTCAAGTTAGAAAGTTGTCCACACACGTGAAACACTAATATAACCACAAAAATATCTACAGACGTGTAAGTACCACCTGTACAATATCCAGCCATTGTTTGACCAATAATAGTTAACTGATAATACGGTGTTGCAAGTTTGTCGTATGGAAAATAACACCGTAATATGAGAACATGTCCTTTGTAGATAATTAATAACACATGAAGAAGAATGAATAGTATAACGATTGAAAAATATGTTACAGTACTTCCAATAGAAATTTTTCTGCAAACATTAGCAATCCTCATCATTTTTCTTTGTTCTTCTTCGTTGTTTGTTTCTTTCCGATCCTTTTCCATATGGGATAGTAGCATATTTATAGCTTGAGTAATACAATTAATTGTAATACAAAAAAAAAAGATAAATCTTTCTATCGTAGATCTTAATTTTTTTTTTTAATAAGTATAAACGTAATAAAAAAATCATTTAAATGCTAATGAGAAAGAAGTTACCTTAATTGAAAGTTAAAAAAAAAAAAAAAAGAAAAAAATATCACGAAAAAGAAAGAAATGTTTTTAAATGATTATTTTAATAAAAATGATAATTAATAATAAAAATGATAATTAGATGTGTAATTACATCCTCCACTGAACCAAAAGAAAATCGTCTTCAATACAGCAATTAACACGGTCATGTTTCCAACCGACAAGTTCTCGACGGTCAAATCGATATCACCCCATACGTAGTAAAGATCTATTGTTTGTGGTATATTGATGAATAGTATCATTATGCCGAGTGGAATTAAAACGATGTAACTTGACGGTCGATGTAATTTTCTTTCCTCTGGCCAAATCCCCAAAAGCTTCATGGTGTAACGATTCCAGCCACAAATATAATCCACGTAGGAAACTAAATTGTTCGATTAGCAATTTATTAGTAATACATGGATTTTTTTATTAAATTAAAATACCATATCCCTAAATGATTCGATGATGAATAAAATATAGGATGATGCATAGAAATATTCTATGATAGGCTTGATTAAAAGAATGTTGGATTAATGATGAATTTTATTCGATTTATTTTTTTTTTCTTTTTTTCTTAATTTAACACTATTAATATTATTAAATTAATGTATATTTATATAATTAGATTATATAAATATACATTATAGTGTTAATATATATTTAATATTAATTTAATAATATATTAATTATTAAATTACAATATTAATAAAATTATATTATTTTATATATTATTATTATAATATAATTATTATAATAATTATGTGTAATATTATTGTAATATAATAATAATATAATAAAATAATAATCAAATATTATATTATTTTTATATATATTATTTTATAATTAAATTATAAAATTATAATAATAATTCAATATATTATTAAATTAATATATTATATAATTAATTAAATTATTTAATATATATTTGTTAATATTAAATTAAATTTTCTTAATTTTTTTTTTAATGTAAATTTTGTTAGATAATTTGATTTTTTATTATTATACCTTGGTTCACATCCATGTCGACTTCTGTCACAACGACGTATCAAGAACTGATCCTCCCATATGATTTCTGTTTGAAGTATTCCTTTTTAGCGCATGCTCTATAACAACTCCTATAGTATTACCCATGTACTTGATTTTCTAATAAAATAATCATTCAAAAATAATTTTATATTATCAATCGAAAAAAAAAATATGATTTTTTCATAATTTATTTCCAATTAAATTGATTCATTGTATAATAGAAATTATTTTCCTTTTTTTTTTTTGGTTTGAAATTATTTGTCATAGATATAGGTATGTAATATGATATATCAAACAGATCCCTCTATTGTAAAAATTTCTAAACCTTTTGATCTAGATTTGTTACTCCAGCGGTTACTTTCTTTTAAGATTTATAGAAATATTTTACATTATCGACATTGATGTATTATGTTACCAGCTTCAAGTATTATACTTTGATGGAATATACTTTCAAAATATTAAATCAATAAAAATTGACCAAAATCTATGATCGATAATATCGTGGTGGTGTTATGTTAACGAATTATTAGAACAGTAATAAAATAATAAAATTATTTACTATATATTTCACTTTTTTCAACAATAGATAATAATACATTTTAATATACTTGCATATTTTATTTGGTATTTACTATATTCATTGCATGAAGTACTGATAAGTAACTCATCGACGTTCTCAAAATCTGCCACAATTATTTGATAATAAATTAGTTTTTTTTTTTTTAATTTATTAGAAAGTAATTTGCACAATATTGTAACTCACATTGCAGAATAGTTGATATCTGAATGAACAAAATTTTCCTGCAGTTATGTGTAGTGGTACTTTGGCTCTAATCATGATTATTATTAATGATTTAATTTCATTAGGTGGTAAAGTATACCATTTGCATTCGTAGGCAGCATCAAAAATTCCAATACTCTAATAATTGTAAAAATTTTCTTTGAACAAAAAAAGAAACAAGAAGCGCAAAATGTAGAAAATTAATTATAAAAAAAATTTGATTTACCTCTGAAATAAGTTTCTCACCGATATAACAGTACAGGTAGATTTGAAGTAATATATATATTAAATATGCTGATAAGAAAGTTGTTTGAACTAAGATAACTCCATTTTTTCCTGCAAGAGCCTATAGAAATAATTATAACGATATTAAAATTCCACATACTAATATTTTGAATATTATTTATTTAGAATCATACCATAAGTATTTGAAAACACGTAGCACAAAGTTGCAACGAACAGCCGAGCATTTGTAACAGTAACATGCCATTGAATTTTTGTTCGATTGTTTTGGTAAATCTGAAATTAAAATTAATCTAAGTAAAAGTAATTAACAATCATTTTATTATTCGATATTATCAAATCTTACTTAAATAAATGAATGAACCAAAAAAAAAAAAAAAGGAAAAACTTGTTTAATTTTAGAACCAAAAAAAAATATATATACCTATTCAAAGAATTGTGTTTCTTAACGATCTTAGCAATTTTCAATTTAATTTCATTGCAATCGTTAGAATACAAATCTCTCAAACTATGTTTCAAATTGTTCAATTGTCCACACAAATGAAACACCAATGTAGCCACAAAAGTGTCTACCGATGTATAAACACCGCCTGTGCAGCATGCAGCCAATATTTGAGCAAAAATGGTTAACTCGTAATTCGGTGTTGATTGTATGTTGTATGGAAAATATGAACGTATTATAAGAATACGTCCGATATAACGTATCAATAATAAATGTAAAATAATAAAAAGAATAATGACCATGTAATATGTTAAAGTACAAACGATTGATATCCTTCTGCAAATATTCGCAATCTTCATCATTCTTCTAACTTCATTTTTGGCATTAGTTTCTTTTCGATCCTTTTCCATGTTCGTTAGAAGAATTCTAATAGCTTGAGTAATCATGAATTCGTTAAAAAAAAAAAAAAAGGAAAATATATTTTTATGATTAATCTTTCTTTTTTCTATAAGTATTGTTTTGTAGAATTTAAAGAAAATAAAAAATTTTTTTTTTCTTTTTTTTTTCTAAGGAAATATCGAATAAATTAATTTTTTTTGGTAAGAAATTACACATAAGAATTTACGTAAATAGTAAAAATATTGTAATATAATTATACGTTTAATTACATCCTCCACTGAACCAAAAGATAATCGTCTTCAAGATCGCAATAAACACGGTCATGTTTCCTATCGATAAGTTTTCGATAATCAGATCGATATCACCCCATATGAAGTAGAGATTTATTGTTTGTGGTATGTTGATGAATAATAACATCATGCTAAGTGGTAGTAGGACCAAGTAACTCGATGTTTCATTGATTTTTCTTTCATTCGGCCAAATTCCCAATATCTTCATAGAATAACGATTCCAGCCACAAATATAATCCACGTAGGATACTTTAGCATGTTGAGATCAATCAACAAAGTATTAGTAAATTTTATTCGTATTAACAAAGGATAAGAAAGTTCTAATGATTTTGATGAAATTAAAAAATAATTTTGTTAATGATGAATTTGATCAAATGCTTTTTTTTTATTTTTATTTTTTTTTTGTTAGGTAATTTATTATACCTCGGGATACATCCATGTAGGTTATTCCGTTACTGCGACGTATCGAGAACTAATCCTCCTTAGGGGTTGATTTTTGTTTCAAGTGTATTTTTCTTCCTAGCGCATGCTCTTTAAAGTACCCTTACTATCATTTCTTTTGTATTAAGAATTTAATTTTATAAAATTTGTATCTTTAAATAATTTGAATTTTCACGCAAAGTAGAAAAATGAATGGTATTTTCTTTTTTAATACTATTTTGAATTTAAATGATTCGATATTTTAATTATTATTATCATTATTTTTATGTTTGAATGTTTAGATTGTTTTAGAACAGATCCCTCTATGGTAAGAATTTCAAAGCCCCTTGCAACTTGTTATATAACTTAACTCTCGTGGTTACTTTGTTGAATGAAGGATTTCATTTTTTTTATTACCGACGATGACATTGATCAGTGTAAAGTATAATCTTTTCACCATAAAATTTCATGATATATAAATCGATAGAAATTTAATAAAAAAGAAAAGGTACGATCGTTAGATCGTGGATTTAAATTAGGATTTAAAATTGAAATTATAACAAATTTTAATTAAATATTTAACGTTAGTTTTTCAAATTATTTTGATGAATATTTTACTCCATATCTTTAGTTTTCATTGCATACAGAACGGACAAGTAACCCATGGATGTTTTCAAAATCTGTTAAAACATGAAAATATATAAATTTTATTTTATTATAAGAAGATTATAAAATTTGTTTACTTACATTGCTAAAAAGTACATGATTGAAAGAACAAAATTTTCCTGCAGTAATACGTGATGATATTTGTGCACGTGACATTATTATTGTTAAACATTTAGCATCGTTTGGTGATAAATTATACCAATTGCAATTATACGCAGCATAAGCCATTTCCGTACCCTACGATATTTTAAATTTATGATTTTTTATTTTTAATCTATCAACAAACATAAATATAAATGATATTTACCTCAGTAAAAAGTTTCTGACCAACATAACAATATAAATAAATGTGAAGCATAACGTACGTTGTATATACCGCAAAAAAGAATAATCGGACTATTAATAATCCTTGGTCATCGTCAACAAGGGCCTGTAATACTCAAAAATGATTACAATCATTTTCTTGAAGTATCAAATAAATATAAATAAATAATTTCTAAATTTTGTTTACCGAAATTGCTTGATACGATTGTACACAAAGTTGTACAGTACAACCAATCATTTGCATAAGCAACATACTGTTGAATCTGTCTTCGATTGTTTCAGCATAACTATGAAGTAAATATTTTATTAAAAAAAATTCAAAAATATTTCCTTAACTTTTTCTTCTTCTTCTTATTCTCACCTGTTGAGCATATCATACTTTTCCACAATTTTGATAAGATCGATTCGAAAATGATTGTTGTCTACTGAACACAAATTGGACAATTGTTTTCTTAAGCTCGAAAATTGTCCGCAAACGTGTAAAACCAACATCGTCATGAAAGTATCCACAGCTGTATAACTATTGGCTGCGTAAAATGCTGCTGTAACTTGACCGATTACGGTTAATTCGAAATTTGGGAAGGGTCGTGTGTCGTATGGAAAATATGCACGATAAAAAAGTGCTCGTCCGGTGTATGGTAATAAAACGATTCTTAATGTCACATACAATATAACGAGAAAATTACACATTATTATACTTCCAGCTGTTATAGTTCTGCTAATATCAGCAATTCTAGTCATTTTCGTAATATTTTCTTCGTTGTTTGCTTCTCTTCGATCATTTTCCATATGTGTTAATAATACCTTCATGGCTGATAATAAAATTGATAAAAATAAAATTCAATAGGATTAATTATGTTTAAAAATAATAATAATATTAGATCTACCGAGAAGTTCTGTCCATTCTGAACAAACACCGGTTCAATTTTTCGTCTCTAGGTATAAAACATTTTTTAAAAATGCAATATACAAATTGTCATCACACTATGATAAGAAATTATAAATAATGATAATTGATAAATATTAGTCAATTAAAGAGATATGAAAATTTATTACTTTTTTTTTTATTCTAAAAATGGACAAAACTATCCGGTAGACTTAATAATATCATTCGTTTATAAAAAATAATTTTAATATTTATAATTACATCTTCCGTTTGACCAAAATGTTGCCGTTTTCACTACAGCAATCGTAATAGTCATGTTAGCCACCGATAAATTTTCCACGATCAATTCAAAATCACCCCATATAAAGTAAAGATTAGTTGTTTGAGGTATGGTAATAAAAAGTACCATAAAACCGATTGGAAATAACACTTTGTAACTGTACGCATTGTTGATTTTTCTTTCCTCTGGCCAAATTCCCATGAACTTCATTATTTTTCTATTCCAACCACAGGCGTAATCCACGTAGGAAACTTTATTATGTTTAATCAATTGAAATAAAATTGTTAAATTGAAAATTAATATTAAATAATTAGATTTTTTTTTATTGAACAAAGGATTGATAAAAAAAAGAAAGACAAATAAAAAATATTTCTTATTTTTTTATCGGGTTGTTCAATTTAATGTTTAATATATTTTGAATTAATAATTTAAAATTAAATATATTTTAGATAATAATTTAATGTTAGTATATTTTAAATTAATAATTTAATGTTAATGTATTTTGGATTAATAATTTAATGTTAATTTATTTTAAATTAATAATATAATGGTAATATATTTTAAATTAATAATATAATGGTAATATATTTTAAATTACTAATTTAATAGATATATTTCTTAAATTAATAATTTAATGTTAATGTATTTTGGATTAATAATTTAATGTCAATATATTTTAAATTAATAATTTAATATTAATATATTTTGAATTAATATAATTTAATGTTTAATATATTTTGAATGAATATAATTTAAATAATACCTCGATTAACATCCATGTAAGCTATCGTCACAACGACGTATCAAGAACTAAATCCTCCAAAGATTTTCTACATTCAAAGCGCTTATTTCTATTGCGCATGTTCCATAACTATCAATCACGATTGAATTCTTTTATACTTTTCATTGTTTTTTCTTTAAATTATATTACAAATAATTTACGTTCGTAAGTATTATCATTGTTTCGTGTATTAAAGTTATAACAAGGAAATTAAATAGAAAAGAATAACAATGAATAATTTAATTTTATCTTAAAAATTCGAATAATAATTATTTAAGGATCATGTTCTGAATATGGCCATCTATAGTAAGAAATACTAAACAATCTCATAACACATTTCAATATACCTCGCTCGGTTACTATGTTAACACGTTTAGCGCCACGCGAATTCTTAGGGGAATTCTCGTCAGGCCATAGGCGTTATTTTGTATTGAAAAAATAGTTGAATGTGTCAGTCACCCGTGACAGACGCGGCCTGAACGGAAAGTCTAGTGTCAGTCACCAATGGCTGACGTGGCGCTCAACGTGTTAATATCCGTATTATCTTTGTGCATGTTACTTTATCGACGTTATTTATTATCCTTAATCCTTTTTATAGTAATTTTTGTATATATCACTTTCTTACATATATTTTTATGTAAGATTTTTGCAATATTTTTTATACATTTTTTGTATAATATGTTTTATACAAGTTTTATAAAAGATCATCAACAAATATTCATACGCGAGTGTTAGGTTTTTCTTATTTTATGTTTAAATATTGTTGATAAATTTTTAGAAATTTTTTGTTGTTGAGAAAGTTCTAAGTTTGATTCTTGTACAATTACGTGTTTTAACTCATATGGTTATTCGATTAGTATCCGCATTACAGGCACGTTACTTTATCGACGTTTAACTGTATTTTGTATTTTATAAAATTTTATTTTTTTGTTTGTTTTTTTTTTTTAAATTTAAATTAAAAAATAAATATATTTTACGAAACGATACAATTTTTTCTAATTTATACGAACACTCGAATACTATAATAGAAAATTTTTTTTAATAATTAATTATTTAGGCTGACATATAAAACTTATTCTACGTGTTTTGCTTTCATTGTATACAGAACAGACAAATAACCCATTGACGTTTTCAAAATCTGTAAAATAGAAAATCAAATGAATCTCAAATAATTATTGAATAATCATAAAATTGTTTATTTCTTTACTCACTTTTGTAAAAAGTTGAAGATTGAATGAACAAAATCTACCAGCTGTTATTTGCAATGGTGATCGTGCTCGACGAATTATTAAAATAAGATATTTACTTTGTTTGGCAGTTATGTTGTACCATTTGCATTCGTATGCGGCGTCAGCCATTTCGTTGCTCTGCACCGAAAGTTAAATTATTAAAAAAAATTAAATATTGTAATAAAGATTAAAATTTTCTTTACCTTTGATACTAATTCTTCACCTATGTAACAATATAAATAAATTTGCAATAAAATATATAATATGTAAAGTGTTAGGAAGCATATTTGAAATACTAGCAATTCTTGATTTTCCTCAGTGATCGACTAGAATAATAATTAATAAAACATTTATATTATAATTATTTAAAATTTTTATTTTGTGTCAAGACTTTGAATTTTTTTTATTTTTTATTTTCGTTACCAAAAGTGCTTGGAAGAATAAAACGCATAATTTGATGGTACAACCGATCATTTGCATCAACAGCATTCCATTAAATTTATCCTCTATCGTGCTAGCAAATCTAAACGAACAAAATATATATTCCAATCATTGTTAAAAAAAAAAAAAAAAAATAAATAAATAAATAAACCTTAAATATCTTTATACAAAAATTGAACAAAATGATTTCGTTTAACTCACTCGTTAAGACGATCATGTTTCTTCACAATATCAGCAAGATTTTGTTCAAAATTTTTTCCACTTTTATCGATGCAAATATTTTTCAATTGTCTTCGAAGATTTTCGAATTGTCCACAAACGTGAAATACCAACATTGCAACGAATGTATCAACAGCCGTGTAAGTTGTTGCCGTATAAAAAGCAGATACGATTTGTCCAATCGAAATGATTTCAAAATTTGGTGTGACCAAAGTTTCATAGGGAAAATATGATTGTAAGAATAATGCACGACCTGTACGACGCATTAACAGGAATCTTGAAATAGCCCAAAGTACAACCACGCTGTTTGTTATCACTGTACTTCCGATTGATATTCTTCTTGATATTTTAGCAATTTCTGTCATTTTGTTGATTTCTTCATCTGTGTTTGCCTCTTTTCGATGATCCGTCATGAAAGACAATAAAATCTTGATGGCTTAAGTATCGAACGAAATAAAAAGAATAAAATTATAATTCAACTTTTTAGATATAATTTTTTATTTATTAGATATTCAACAAATTATTTTTTTTAATCTGAATTTATAAACTTTGACGCAATCTTATTTTGGCTAATTATTACGATAATTTGTATTACAGAATAAATAGTATAATCAAAAATATTTATATTAATACTGATTTTTAATTTTTATTATTTTATATTAATACTGATAAAATAAATAAAAATAACTATTTAATTTTATTTTTAATTTTTAATGTTAAATTTTTAATTTTATTTATTATAAATTTGTTTTAATTTTTAATTTAATTTAGTAAAGTAAATCATTTATTTTAATTTTTAATTTAATTTATTGAAGTAAATAATTAATTTTAATTTTTAATTGTTAATAAAGAAATATATTTAAATATAAAGATATTACGTTAAATATTTTTTACACGCTATGACACTAAAGTATCAAGTTTTTTAATTAAAAAAAATATAAGTTAAACTTTTCTTACAATAATCTATGCGTAATATTTATACATAAATTTGAAATAAAAAAAAACGTCGGAAAACCTGAGTGTTCTTCTTTTTCTAGTTAATTCTAGTAAAATGGTATAAAAAATAAACTGAAAGATAATAATTACCTCTTCCGTTGAACCAAAAGGTGATCATTTTAATAAGCGCGATGATTACAGTAATGTTAGCCACCGAAAGATTATCCACGATTAAATTGAAATCACCCCATATAAAGTAAAGATTAATAGTTTGTGGTGCAGCCATAAAAAAAAACATAAGGCTAATCGGTATTAATACTTTGTAACTTGAAGCTCGATCAAATTTCCTTTCTTCCGGCCAAATTCCCATAAATTTCATGGTGTATCGGTTCCAACCAGAAGCATAATCCACGTATGAAACTTTGACATTGTTATATGTTTTATTAATGATACATAATGTTATTTAAATGAAAAAAAAAAAATAACAAAAAATATTATACGAAATATAAAATGACACATATAATTTAAAAATATTAAATGGGGTTTTTTTGTTTGTTAATTTATACCTGGATTAATATCCATGTTAGGTTCTCAGTAGAACGATCTATCAAGAACTGATATTCTCAGTTCCTTTTGCTATTTCAATCGTCTCTATTTTTTTTTAGCGCATGCTCATTCTATCACTGAGAATCACTCGAATATTATAACTGATAACAAACTTATGTTTTCATTAAATTCTAATTAATTGACTCGATTTGATTGAATTTATCGTCAATTTTGTATCATCGATTACCACATTTTTTATTTATTTTAATTTGTTTACTGACAAAAATGAAAGAATTTAATAGTATTGCTAATGGGAAATCTTGGAATCATCCTTGGGGGTTGTTTCCTTTAAAATAAGTGTCCCTCTATACCAAGAAAATCGAAACACGTCATTGTTTTCAACTTACCTCGACTCTTGCGGTTAGTTAAAGGGCTTTAAGGTTTATCAGATATATTCCTTAGGATATATTACCTTACCGACGCACGATTTATCATTAGGGTCAACTAATCTATGTGATAATTATAATAAAACCTATTGGGTTTATGTGAATTATATTATCGAGCAATATGACTCATTGAAATAATAATATTTTACATAACAATTTTTGAAGTGTTGATTATTGTTCATGTTGAATTTTTAATTTTGATTGCATAAAGAACCGATATGTAACCCATCGATGTCTTCAAAATCTAAAATAGTATATTCTTAAAATTTGTGAGTTTTAATATTTGTTTTTTAGTATTATTTGTACTTACACTACTATATAATTCTTGCGTGAATGTACAAAATTTACCAGCTGAAAGACACAATGGTGATCTTGCTCGATACATGACCATTAAGAGTGATTTGGATTCTTTAGGTGTTAAATTATACCATTCACATTCGTAAACAGCTTGTAAAATATCCGTGCTCTGAAAATATTATCATTTTACAATTTTTTTATATTTTAGATATTTTTTTATTTTTTTTTATTTTAACTTGCCTCTGAAAGAAGTCTTTCACCAACGTAACAATAAAGATAAAGTTGAATTAAAACGTAACATATGTAGAGCATTAAAAACGATACTTCCAAAACAAATAGTTCACCTGGTCCTTCGATATATGACTGTAATTAATAAACAATGTACAATTATTTATCTATTTGATCAATATTTTTTATAACCGAAACAAAGTTGCGTTATACAAGGTATATTTGATAAAATTTATATTTAATTGCAATACTGACAATTTTTGTATTTTATATACGTTATACTAAATATAATAATAATAATATATAAATATATTTATATATATAATAATAAATATACTAAATAATTGTACTAAAATTTACTAATACTAATACTAATATACTAATACTAATATATAAAATAATAATAATACTAATACTAAAGTATTAAACTAATATATACTAAAATATTAAAATTGATATTAAAAATATTAACTCAATAAATAACATTTATGTCAAATTTGATCATTTTACAATTAATATAACTTACCAAAAGTGCTTGGAAACATTGAAAACATAATTGCACTGTGCATCCCAATATTTGAATCAACAACATTATGTGGAATCGATTCTCAATCGTATCAGCAAACCTAATCGATTAAATTAAATTTTTAAATTAATTAATTAATTTAACATAAACTCCATTTTTATTTTTATCATACTTGTTAAGATAATCATGTTTCTCAACGATGTTAGTTAATTTAATTTTAAACTCGTCACTGCTTTTAGATCGTAGATTGATCAATTCTCGTTTCAAATTTGATAATTGTCCACAAATGTGTAAAACTAACATAGCAATGAATGTATCAACAGCTGTATAAGATGTTGCAGCGTAAAATACTGCTATCAATTGTGCTATAAATGTTAGCTCGTAATTAGGACTGATACGTGTATCGTAAGGAAAATATGCACGAAATAAAAGATTTCGACCAGTATGAAGTATAGTGACGTAACGTAGTATAGCATAAACAATGACGACACTTAGACACATGAGAGTACTTCTGATCGATATTTTTCTCGATGTTGTTACGGTGTTCCTTATTGTCATTGATTCTTCTTCAGTTTTTCCAGCTTTTTGATCATTTTCCATTAACGACAGTAGATATTTGAGAGCTTTGCATGAACAAGGAATTTTTTGTTCTATTATCAATCTAATTTTTCTAATCACATATTTCTTTAATTTTTTTTTTTTAAATTAATTTAATCTATCTATTTAAAAAAAAGAAATGTATTATTTATTTATTTACATTGCCCATTTAACCAGAAAAAGATAGTTTTAAGTAGTGCTATAGTGACGGATATGTTACCCATCGATAAATTTTCTACGATTAAATTAAAATTTGTCCACACGAAGAATAAATTAGTCGTTTGAGGAAGACAAATGAAACAAAACATCAAGCATATTGGTATTAAAACTTTGTAACTTGATATTTCATCGAATCTTCTTTCGTTTGGCCAAATTCCTATGAAATCCATGGTGTAACGATTCCATCCACATGCGTAATCAACTTCTAACACTTTTTTTATATTCATTGTAATTTCATTTAATTAAATTAATTGATTCAAATTAAATTTTTAGGATTTATTTTTTGTTTAGCACGAGGATATGTTTGTTCATGTGTTCGAGACACGTCTAGGACTGATCTTGAATTCATTTCTTTCGTATTTCGCGAGCTATAATATTCCAGCATATGTTCTTGGCGCATGCTCTATGAAAATATACAGTAACCGTAAGAATGATTTCCATTTGAAAATCTAATCTAATAAATTTTGTTTGATTTTTAAATGGTTTGGATTTTTTGAGTAAATTCAAAATTCCAATTTTGTCTATCATCTTTGACAAAATTTTTGCTAAACATTTACATACAAGTGAGATGAAAATTATAAGGGTGGAGGTGTATTAAAATAAGTCCCTCTATCGTTAGAAAACCTAAACCATGGATACCAGTTAACTCTGGTGGTTAGAACAAGTTTTCTTTAGCTGTGTTACTTTATCGACGTATTTTTTTTTTTTAAACGATGAAAATTTGTTCATACTTTTTTTTATAAAAATTATATATAAATATTTTTTTTTTTAGAGACATTTTAGTACTTTCAAATATTAGTTGTTAAATGACAATGAAGAAAGTCAAATCGTAATTCCTTTATTTATAGGAATATATGTATTATAAATTATAATATAATATTTAAAATTGTATAAATAATATAAAATTTATCCAAATTTGTTCATACAAATTGTAAAAATAAATTTCACAGGTGACTTTTAAACAAATTAGAAATTATTTTGCCAAATGACAAAGTTCTTTTTCTTTTCCTAACAAAATAGAACAATTGTAAATTGTTTGAAGTGTTTGAAAATTATTTCGAAACATTTGTTAAAATTATTCAGGTAAATTCTGTACCGTATTGAAATGAAATATGCATTATTTATTTCTATTCTATTTATTATATCAATTGTATCGAATTATTTCTTATTATCTGATACTGTTAACAACACCGAAAGATATCCTATTGAGGTTTTCAAAATCTGCAAATAGAAAAACAAATTATTTTAAAAGATAATAAAATAATAATGGATTTAAATGAATTTTTTATTTCACTCACATTGCTAAACATTTCCATCGAAAATATACTAAATTTTCCGGCAGTTAAACAAAGTGGAATTGAAGATCGATATATTACGAAAATAATATTTCGTGAATCCTTAGGGAGTAAGTTAAACCATTGCGATTTGTATGCTGACGTGCCCATTCCAGAACTCTGTTCAACACATGTCACATATAATGCATATAATTTTTACATAATTTAAATATATGGTCCCAAAAGTTTCTCTCTTTTTAGTAATTTTGCAGACACATAATATTTCTTATATTGAATAATTTAAATTATAGTAAAAGGTAAAATAAAGTAGAATCGATTTATTATTTTTTAGTAAATAACGTAAAATACAAATAAAAAAAAAATATTACGCATACAATATTGTTCAACTTATCATCAAAAAGAGGAAGAAATTTTTGGGACAACGTAATATATTAAAAAAAAATATTTTCTTAACCTCAACGATAAGCATATCTCCAACGTAACAATACAAATAAAGTTGTACCAATGTAACAACTACGAATAGTACAACGAAAAACAATTGTTCTACGGGAAAAGCATCCCCATCTTGTTTCATTATCTACGAAAAAAAAAAGAAATAAACAAGAGCTCATATTAATTAATTTAAAAAAAAAAAAGAAATCAATCRTTTAATCAACTTACGCGAAACAATTGAAATGTCTGAAAACACACTTGAATGATACAAGCCAATATTTGTATGAGCATCAAAAGGTTAAACGAGTTCTCGATAGATTTGGCATACCTTGGATAATAATAATTATCATAAATCTCATAATGAATGATCGATAAAAAATAAACATTTCCAACGGACCAACCAATTGAGATGTTCGTGTCTTTGAACGATCCATTTAATATCCTTCGTAAAATTATTGGCCATTTCGTTTGGTAAATTTTCAAGAGTATGCCTTAGATTCGTAATTTGGGCACAAACGTGTAGGACCAGCATTGTAATAAACGTGTCTACGCCTATGTACGACACAGTAGCACTGTAGGCAGCTACAATTTGTCCGAAACACGAAATACAAAAGGCGATTGTTCCGCTAATGTCGTATGGAAAATAAGCTGGATAGACAACCGTATTTTGTGGTTCAAATTGATCTCTCTGCATTCGAGCAATCATTAATGTACGAGGTATAATATAAATCGATGTCATGGAGTGTGCTAATGTCGTACACCATATCGATATAATTCTTGCCTTTTTAGCGTTATCCAGCATGATTGATCTCTCCTTTTCACTTTTTGGCCTCTTCCAATCTTCAACGAATGAACTTAGAAGTGGTCTCAATGCTAAAAACAATTGTATTATTTTTATTGTCATTTATTTTTATCACTATCACTGATTAAACGTCACTTACATTCCAAATGATATCGCGCGAACAACAATTTAATGCATGACATGGTAATCGGTACATTGGCAGTCGCCAAAATTTCTGTCATCAGTTCCATGTTACCCCATATCATCAATAGATACGTCGATTGTGGTATTGTTATAAATCCAAACATAAAAAATGAATGAACAATGAACCAATATTTCGACAAGGTTGGATCACTTTCGGTGTATTTTGTGTCAGGCCAAATTCCAAGTATTTGTAGGCTGAATCGGTTCCAACCAATTGCATAATTCAAATCTGTGAAATGAATAACTCGCGTTGCAGAAAATTTAAAAAATAATATTGTTTTTTGGGAGGGAAATTTAAAAGTTACACCGATGAAAAAATTGTACCTTCTTCGAATCTTGTCGGCATCGTAAGACACGATTGTAATACGCGACGTAACAACGACTGACCGTTTGTAAGTCGTTCATACTACATAGATGTCCTTCCCTTTTTTCTTCCTTCAATACGCATGCTCGTCAAACTAAAATGAAGTATCCAACACTGGATAGTTAATAATTAATCCACTCTTGGAATTTCATAATATGATTTTATTTTTTCCCCATTTTAAATAAAAGCAACCTCGTTAAAGTTTCTATAACCAACCTTCCCCATTTTCAACGCATCGTAAATCCCCTTCTACATTATTATGCGTAATAACATATATTCAGTATTTCCCGATATATTAACAAAAGGGGGAATATAAAACGGATAAGTGAATTTAAGTCCATATGTGATGTGAAATAAAACGGGAAGTGTGTCTAACGAAAATTGTTCATCATTGAAAAGGTATTTCATTTTGTTCAATTGATCAACAACATTCGTACATTTCTATTGTAAGATCTTTTTTAATCAAATAATTTTACTAATAAAATTTATTTTTATTAGCAAATAATACGTACGTCTAACAAACTCGTTGATAATTCGATTAGGGTATAGTTATGAATAAATAAAAAAAAAAAATATATAACATGCAGTTACAAGTAACATAAGAGAATGATATTTAATATTTTACAAATTATTTATCCATCGTGTAAATCATATAGTATGAATCATTATTCTTCAATTAGACGATCTTTCATAGCTAGTAATACGGATAAATATCCGGCAGATGTTTTCATGATCTGAAAATAAAAAATAAAAAAAATCAATTTATGATAAATGTTTGTTAATAAGAGAATATTTATCGAAAATATACTCACAGCACCAAACAACTCTAAAGAAAATGGACTAAATTTTCCAGCCGTGATTTGAAAGGCTATTCTTGCACGACAAATTACTATCATCAGACACATTGCCTTTTTAGGTGGCAAGTCATACCATTCGCAATCGTAAGCGGAGAAAGCTATTCCAGTGCTCTTTTAAAGGCACAAGTTAATAAATTCTTAGCTAGATACGAGAGTAATAGGCCAACTTTGTTATTGACTTACCTCGACTAAAAGTGTTTCACCAACGTAGCAATAGATGTATAAATGCAACATAGTGTATATTACGTGGATTACAAAAAATATCAGCCCAACTATTGGCAATTCCTGTTCCTGCGATCCCATCGACTAAGAAAACAACAAAGTTGAAATGTTTAATCTTTTATTTTTTTGCTAGAAAACATATACTTCAATTTATATACCGTTATCATACGATATCCAGTCAGACAAAACATAGCTGTGGAAATTAAAGTTTGTCCGAGTAGGGTAAGATTGAAACAATCTTCAACTATTATAGCAAATCTTAAAACGAAAAAAAAAATTTGATTGATAAATGTAAGATTTGATTGAAATTTTAGATAACATCAAATTGGCATTATTTTATTGGATCGAGGTTATAAAAAAATTTAGAGTTTATATTATTATATTAGTGTACACATACAAAACTCTGATGAAAAATATTTGCAAATAGAGAAGTGAGAGAAAATTTTATTTAAAAAAATAAAATTAAGAATACTAACTTATATAATTGTTCGTGCCGGTTGACAATGAATCCAAGTTTACTTTGAAACAAAGTTATGTCACGTTTTGCGACATCCGACAATTCTTTTAAATTCAATTGTAAAACCGACAATTGTCCGCACAAATGTAAGACAAAAACAGCGAGAAATGTATCGAAGCAAGAATAACATATAGCAGTTAAAACTGTTCCCATAAATTGTCCCATCCAAGTGATCTCGAAGTAAGGACTTTTCTTAGTGTCGTATGGAAAAGTTGCAGGATGCAAAAGTCCACCTAGATCTACCTCGGATGCACTAGCCATGTTTGCGTACGTTTGAAGTGATATAAATGCTGTCAACATTAGATATGTCAAAGTTGAACAAAAAAGTGATATTTGTCTGCTCAATTTAGCATTTTTCAACATCATCAAACGTTCTGAATCAGGTATCAATTTATTATCGGTCCAATCGTGTACTATTTCTACGAGTAATGATCTCAAAGCTTTATTAAACAAAACAGAAAACAACAAATACAAATAATTCAAATAAAATAAAATGAATTAATGATATTTACTCTTACCTTTACCGTGATATCGTAAAACGATTTGTTTGATCAAGGCAAATACGATTGGTATGTTGATGGATAAATTTTCTATAGCTTCGTCCAAACTGGTTGAATTTAAAATCAAATCTGCCGTTTGTGGTGCACATATGAATAAAAATGTCACAGTAGTACTCGTCCAAAATATAATGGCTGATATTATACGCCATAGAAAAGTTGTTTTAGAAGGTTCTGGCCAAACTCCTAATACCGACAAATTGAAACGATTCCAACCAATAGCATAATCCATATTTGTTCGGCATACAAAACTTCGATAAAGGTAAAAATTGTCAAATTTTTTCGATAGATTAGCACACGCGAGAGTTAGTCCGACCGAGCTATAAGTAAATTTGTTTTCTTGAAAAAGGGGTTTGTGAATATCACGCATGCTCCATAAAAATATAGAAAAGAAAAACACCGGTGGTGGTAGTAGTGATAGTTTTAATGAATAGGATCAAACTTTAGAACTGCTAAACCCGTTATTTGTGAGAAGAATTGCTAATGCATATTATTATCGATTATATTTTTTTTCTTCTATGTTGACAACTGGAATAACAATTTTGAGGAATAAATCTCGCGAAAAGTTTGAGTCGACTGATGATAAAAAAACAAACCAAATGAGAAGGGTTTCGTAGATTTTTTTTCCTTTTTTTTTTTTGTTCTCATTTTTCGTTTACGTACGTTATTTGGAGTAGGACTAATATTTTCCTCCGTATTATTACATTCTATAATTTTAAAAACCCTACGAAAAGAAGGATACTTTTTTTCACTCGTGGGAACGGGTGCAGGTTCTTGTGAATTTGCAAACGAAACGAAATAATAATCGGTCATCGTTCTTCTCGTGGTCATATTCAATTGAACGTGTGTTGGGTGCGTGACGAATTCAAATTCAACAAATGGTAAAAGGAAATTGAGGTATTCTTTTTTTTTATTATACGAATATTTAAATTATATTATATTTTCCATTAAACCTATCTTAATTTGTAATTTTCAAAATATTGGAATTTATTGACCCGTTAGATTGTCGTTTTAAATTTTTGTAAAATTAATCTTTGTGTTCCGCTACTGTCAATAAAACCGAAAGATATCCCATCGAAGTTCTTACGATCTACAAAAAAAAAAGATATTAGAAAATAATTTAGATAAATTAGAATTCCTTTCTCGTTGTATGTTTACCTCGCTAAATGTTTTCATGGAGAACGTGCTAAATTTTCCAGCGGTCAAACGAAGTGGAATGGTTGATCGGTGCATCACGAAAAGAAGATTCCTAGCTTCTTTCGGAGACAAGTTGCACCATTTAGATTCGTAAGCCGATTCGCTCATACCTGAGCTCTGTGATTAATTACACGAATAGTTTAAATATCGTACTGACATTTAAATGTTATTTTCCTTTTTTTACCTGAACAATAAGCATTTCACCGACGTAACAATAAATGTATAGATGTGTTAAAGTAACGGCCACGAATAATACTAAAAAACTTAATTGAACTGTAGGAAACTCGCCATTTTTTTGTCCTAATATCTAAAAAAAAAAAAAGAAGATAATAAACAAAATGAATAACGAATTGTGAAATGTACTACTTTTTTTTTTCTTTTTTATCTTTCAGATAAAACTAACTTACTGCCTTGACTTGATAACTTTGAAAACACACTTGCATGGTGCAAGTTAGGATTTGTACGAGCATCAAAATGTTGAATGATTTTTCGATCGTTTGTGCGAACCTTTAAAAATATACACACACATCGACGATCGTCAAACTTGAAGAATACGCATGCTATAAGTGAAATATAATTTTAATTAAAAATGTGATTTGAAAAAAAAAAACCAACCAATTGAGATGTTCGTGTCTTTTAACGATCAACGTTAATTTTTCGAGAAAATTATCGGTCTCTTTATCTTTCGTGTTTCTTTCATCCACTAATGTTTTAAGCGTTAACCTTAAATTGGAAATTTGTGAACAAACGTGAAGTACCAACATTGATATGAAACTGTCAACTCCCGTATAAGAAATCGTAGCACTGTATGCAGCTAATATTTGTCCAAGACACGTTAAAAAAAACACCGATGATCTTCTAACGTCGTAAGGAAAATAAGCTGGACAAATGAGTGTACGATCCGGTTCCATTTGATCTCTTTGCATTTGCAATATCATAGTGATACGTAAAAGTATGTATGTCGTTGTCATAATCTGTATCATCACTGTACACAACATTGATATCATTCTAGCTTTTCTAGCATTGTTCAACATAATCGATCTTTCCTCTTGACTTTTTGATCTATTCCAATCGTCGAAGAAAGCACTCAAAAGTGGATGTAATGCTAAGAAAAATAAACCAACACAAGTTATTATCATCAAATATATGTGCCCATATTTATAAAAGTGATCTAACCATAAGTCAAAATTTAACAAAAATGAGTTTATCAGTTATTTCACACAGCACATTATTTTAACCCTAGCACTCTAGTGCTATGGACGCATATACGTGTTTGTTAATATTAATATAAAATAATGTAATGTTTATATTAATTAATTAAATTATATTCAAAAAGAAGAACTTTAATTATTAAATATAATTTATTATTAATAAATTATTCCGTTCCCACAAAACATTTTAGTTAAAAGTATTTAGCACTCAAAGGGTCAAACTAAATAAATTCAATGTAATTTTCACGATATTGTCAAAAATGAATTGTTAGATAATATTATATAGAATTCATTTAGTGTTCAAATGTAATTCTTTAAATATCTCGAAACAAGAGATGACTTAGACCACTTTCATAATTATTGGCACATATATATATATATATATTAAATAGATGATAATCACTTGTTAAACGATAAACATTGTTTCCCACGTTTCACTAAAATTCTTACATTTCAAGTGATAATAAATGATGAAGAGTTTGAAACAAGCCATAGTGACAGGAACATTTGCAGTTGCTAAATCCTCCGTCATTAAATCAAGATCACCCCAGATTATCATTAAATATGCTGATTGTGGTAAGACTATAAATCCTAGCATGATAAATAAGTGAACTATCCAACGATATTTCGTAAAGATTACATTTTTTTCCAATCTATCGGAGTCCGGCCATACACCGAGGATTTGAAGATTTAATCGGTTCCAGCCGATCGCGTAATTCAAATCTGTCGAGAAATAATTGAAAACACTCGTTTAAAAATGTTTTTTTTTTTTTTTAATCACTATTAATCTCGTACCTTTGGTAAATTCCATCAGTATAGCACCACTTAAAGGAACGTGCAAACGCGACGATACGATAACTATACTATTGTTCGTCTTTCGATATGAATATCATTTTATTTTTCTTCTTCCTCTTCTTCTTCTTCTTCTTCTTTGTAATACGCATGCTCATCATTCTCGTCAAAGTAAAATGAACAACACAACAACAATAACAACAACAACCACCACTACCACCACGATCACTACCATCTATTTAAAAATGTATACAGCCAGGACCGTACCGTTTAACTTTATCCTCCCCTTCTAAATGCATTTTTACTTATATGTTAGCAACCACGAAGGAAATAATATATCGATCGTTATCTATTTTTTTTTTCTTTTTTCCACATTCTATCTTATTCCCTCGAGGTGTTTAAACATATCTCGGTTAACGTGACTTTATATAAGGTGTTGTTGTGTTCGATGTTAATTACATTAATTTATACATTTTCACTACCAGCTCGACAACGTTCCAGTAACGGGTTCGTGAGTATATCGCAATTGCTTTTGGAAAGTCTCGTGCGAAAGATTTTTTTCTTTTTTTTTTCACGAATTTGGACAAGAGGAAATCTAAACGAACTACTGTTGACGGTAAATCTTAGAATACTTGATCATATTACTCGTAAATTATTCAATTTCATTGATATTTTTGTTAACCAGGATGTGAAAGGATTTAGGAATGATATTTGAATTTGTTAATAATCTTATTATTAATACTTCATGTTTGTGTGTGTATGTTTACGTAAAAAATATTATTTATTCATTGGCGTTTTGCATATAATACGAGCCCGTGTTATTTTGAATAAATCACACGGGTTATGGAATAAATATGATATACAATATGTAACTTATAAAGTAAACGTAATTACATACAAATCAAATTACTATAGCTTTTCATTGCAAGACACGTTATGATTAAATTGGACGCTATTAAACGCTATCTATCTCTTCTAATCTCGAATATGAATCAAACAAAGAGATCAAAAGAGATCGGCGCGTTCTTTTAAATCGTGCGTTCGCAGAAAGCGCAATCATTCGAGTTTAATAAAATTAACGTAATCGTACTTTCGTTGAATTCACGATATTAAATTGATTATTTTGCTTTGCCATTGAAAAAGTTTCTAGAATTAAATTATAATTAAACGTGCATGTAAATGTATTATTCATTAAATTAAACAAATTTCGCCTCAATGATGGCAATTATGTACAAAAAATTAGATCATTCGAGATCTTCTTCGATGTGACTAAGAAAAAAAAAATATAACAAGAAAATTATTCTCCTGTTTTGATGATAATGATGATTATGATAATAATGACGATGACGAAGGGATGATGATCAGAAGAAAACATTTCCGGGTCTGGCTTGTGGACAAAGAAATCTTGAACAATCGTGCCTCCTGATGGCGTCCATTACTTCTTCGAAATGATTCGATACTTGCATAGCTGCACCAGGTTGAATTCTGTAAGATTGATTCATCCATATTACGAAATGATGAAAGATTATTTTTTTTTTTATAAATATATAAGGAAGGAAAAATATATCTATCGACAGAAAGAACTATTAAATACCTTTTACGAAATCGGCATGTATTAAACTGTTACCAAACTAACGGAAAGTAATCAAAAGTGTGATATAATGTTACTTTCATTAGCACGTTTATATGGTAAGGCCGGTAATTGAATTGTGTACTGGTTCTTTTTATTTCTATATATTTTTATTATAAAAATCCAGGAAATAGAAAAGGTGCTAGCCTTATATGTTTGAATTAATAATAATTATAATATAAAATATTATACACTTTCGATTAAAAACTCGAAGAAAAATGATTTGATCATTTAATATCATTGAACACGGTATGCAAGTAATGTTAATTGGTATCCTAGATTATTCTTTTATGGGAATGAAACATCTGGAATAGATCTTTTCTATTTTGTAAATTTGTCTGTATCACGCGTCACGTGGTCAGTGCCATACCGGCTGGGGTCCGAAGTATAGTGAAACTGTGCTAAGAGGTAAAAGTCGTGTATCAGTCAGTAGGACATTGTCGGCGAAAGCTGAAAGAAAGTTATACGTTTCTCGACATAGCTACTATCCTCTCGGAATCGTCATTTGACTTCTCGATATTCCTCTATTCATTCATTTGACACCACTTAATTGCATATGAATATCACGTTTTGATTTTCATGAAACATACGACTTATTATTGAAATTAATTTACATCGATAATAATAACTGTCGTTATGCTATGCAAAATTCAAGGACTCCTCCCCCCAAATCCGAGTTATTTATTTATAATAATAATTCTTAGTAATTATTGACGTGGGGTTCGAAAGTGGATAAACACGGTAGCAGCTTTCTCGTTACTGGTTAGTTGAATAGTTTAATAATGAGATGAGAACAACAAGTTGTTAAGAAGAACATAATTTTTGTCCCACATATGTTAGAAACGAATTAGCATCTCGTGAATCTTAAATAAATTTTATCTTTTGCATTGTTCGATACTTACAGACCCAACAATTTAGCCATTTTCTTTTCCATAAAGATAGCAGCGTCAGGATCCTTTTGAATCATAGTATCACAGAATATCCTCTTGGCACATGGCGTATTTGTCCAATCCCCATCGATGTGTGCGATCTCAGCAATTTCTGCATTTTCTAAATTTTGTAAAATATCGTCCAATTCCTGATCACTCTCCGTATTTCTTTTTCTTCTTATTTTTTCCTGTTTATCTGTAGACACTTCTTTAGATTTCTCAATCGAATCTTCGATTATCCTTGCAACGTTTGTCAATGAATCTTTATCGGTACCCAAATCTTTTTTTCCAATTTCTTCTTGTGAAATTGTACCACCGTCACCTATTACCAAAATTGTCCCATCTTTTTTCTTTTCTTTATTTTCCTCGTTAGTTTGTTTGGGAATTAAAAATTCGGTTACGTCGATGTTACCTTTTCCTTTGGGTAAATCGATTTCTACAATTTCAGTGATCGAATCTGCACCTTTTCTTTGTAATCTTTTACTCTTTTCAAGACTCTTAACGTCAGCCTCGGTGTTAAAAATATCCAAATAATCTAGACTTCTTCTATTGCGTTGAACTTTTTCAACAGTTTCAGGAGTTTGTTTTTCTTGTTCGAGTATCAAAAAGACCCCATTGTCCCTTGATTCTTGTGGTAATTGGAACTCAATGTTATCTTTGTCCTGTTTCTCGAGTACTTCTAAGAATGAAGGATTAATTTCCAATGCTCTTTTGTGTTCTAGATCTACGCCATCTTCGTTGGATCTTTTGAGAACGTCCACATCGAGGTATCTGCCTACAGCAACAGCACCAATTCCAAGAGCAGCACCCGATGCAACCAAACCAAGTGCAGGTATGAGTATACTCGTTCCAGAAGTTACCGTACCAATTTTATCCTGTGCCTCTTTACCCTTGGACAACCCTAAATTTTGTGATATTTTGTGTGTAGCCTCTACCAACGGATCAAACACTGGTTTGGTAAATTGTGAGACTTTTTCAACACCACTGGAAAATTGATTCTTCAGATTCTCAGAGATTTTTACCCAAAATGGTGCGTCGTTTGGTCTTTTCAGTCCATAAAAATGTTGATTAGGATAATAATTTTTAGTTGTGTAAGTGTCGACTATGTTTTTATCGTTCAGTACATATTTCTTTTTTTGACGTTGTTCCATAAATGAATAGTGTCCATTGGAGTGTTGATAATTGTCCATATGACTTTCTGGTCGTCTTTTTTCATTCTTTACGATTTTAGCCGGTTGAACGCCCAATTCGGGATGAGCATACTGTAAAACGGGTGTTCTAACTCCAGGTTTCACGGGTACTGTCGAAATCTTTTGACTTTCCGGTGTGTAAAGTTGCGATATCGGATAATTGGCAATACTGTCGGGATGTAACATTCGTTTTTGTACATTGGCACGATAGTTGTCATTTCTCGTTTCGTAAACTTCAGCGTTTAATGCTTCATTCTTATAATTTTTTGGATCCCATTCGAAAAATACGTTTCTACCATTGTCCTCGTAATTTCTACCATATCTGTAAAAATGTTAATATTAAACTAATTCAATTTCGTATCCTGTAATAATTATTATTAAAAATATTAAGAAAATATTTTACCTGCGATTGATATCCTTGAAGAATCTTTCAAATCTTTGTCTTTCTGCTGCGTTATCCTGGGAATAATAATTCGAAGAAGAAGAAGAAGATTCCGCTGGATTAGAACTCGTACTTTCGGTAATAAGTTTGTTGTTGATGATTCTAGCGTTACGCCATGTTTGAATTTTATCCATGGGTTCATCGGGAACACGTTTGCCATGAATTATAGGAGTACCATCGCTGTCTAATGACATTGGTGATCTCTTAGGATGAGACTTAACATTGATTTCCGATCTGATGATCACTTCCGGTGGTACGTTTTTGGCATCTCGGTTTTTCGACAAATTTGCACCAATGTTAGTTCTGGTCGATTGACGTGGTTGATGAGGCAGGTAAGAATACTGCGTAGCCTGATTACTTTTGTCATCGTCAAAATGAAGATTTCTCTGTGCTCGATCTTGTAAATTTCTTATAAATATTAATCCGTTGTTCGCATAAGTTGAATCACCGAAACGAACGTAATTTGATCTTCCTTGTTCAACAGGCAATTTTGTATCAGCAACCGGTAAAGGCTTCCAACTGTGGTATTCCTCGGTGGTGGTTTCACGGAATTTCAAAGCTTTACCATCTTCACCTAACGGTGTCCAATTACCGTAATCAATATTCCTTTCGCCAATTGATCCAATCGTCGTACTTTTTTCTTCAATTTTATCCAACTTGTCTGATTTCTCAGTGATTCCTTCTCCAATTTCTTCGGTTTTGACAAATTTCGCACGAATTTCTTCTACTTGAGCATCTTCCAATTTTCTCACATCTTCCTTCCTTTTTTGATCTAATTGTTCACTATCAGATCCGTTGTTTTTTTCATTCATCAACGATGAAATATCGTCATCTCTGCTAACGTTTTTGTTAGCATCGATACTCGTTGATTCAATTCTTTTATCATCTCCATCATCGCTCGAAGACGTTGACTTTTCTCGTCGTTTTACGATCAACGTTGCCAAATTACCTTCGCTAGTTCGAATTTTTAATTCCTCCGTTTCACCAGGTAGACTTCTCGATACTTTTAAAACTGTCCTAGCGTAGCCAGGCTTTGGTAAGTCTATCGCTAGATTGCCGATAACCAAAGTTGCTAAGACTAGAATATATGATACCTGCAAAACAAATAGAACAAAAATCCAAAAGTAGATAAACATTTGTAAGAAAAAATATTGTCTGATTAAACAATTAATTTGATTCTTGATAATAATAATTATTTAATTTCTATGCTGTTGTCTTTCGTTTGTCTTACGCGTGTTGCAACGTAATGAATGCATCGGTGAAAATCAACTTGTTTAGTAATACTGACTATGTTTCTATTTTTACATATATTCTCTTACACACATATACACATACACACGTACGAAAATACGTAAACAGGTCTCGGTAATATCTAATCACGTTCAAATCGTTGCATTTAGTCAACACTATGGGGACACTTCGTGAATCGTCTAAGCACGTGAAATGATTTTTAACAGATTTCGAAAGTCGGCCTTAGTATGATCGTGCTGATGATCGATATGCACGTTTCTTTTTTGTACTTTTTATCTATCACCTTTTAATTATTCATGATTCTTCTATTATAAGTAGATATTCTTATGTATATTCATACGTTTGTCATGGTAGGTCTTACTTTTGAAAAGAAAATTACGTATAACCCCCTTCTGATATTATATAAAATATTTTAGGTAACCATTGTATTTATATTCATTGGGTTTAACGAGCCACCTGGAAAAAAAATAGGATCGATATAATACCAATAGAAGGACGTTATGTAATCATCGATACCACAGAAAATGAATGATCCTGTTGTGTTAAACGAATGTAAAACATTTCTATAGTTTAATATATGTATGTTAGTGTAATCTAGGATTAATATTTCTTTGTTTCTATCGTTTGGAAAACAACAATTCTTTTCTTTTTTTTTTTTTCAAATTTTTCAAACATGTGTAGAACATGTTAAAGAAGATGATTTGATCTAGAATTATTTGTGTAATAGTTATTTATTGATTTAATTGAATATAAGACTGTTCATTTATTCGATGATTATACGAAAGTATAAATGTTTGAATTATGCAACTTATTCAGGATTAGTGACTGTTTGTCACGATTTAAATGCGTGGGATAATTTGTGAAAATAAAAACTTGAATAAAAATGCAGAATATTTATAGTATTTAGAAAAAAAAATTCATAATTCTCATAACTGTAATCAAGTTGGCAGATAATTAGAAAAGATAGAGAAATGATTAGAAACACTAACACACTAACGTGAAATATTGAATCGTTTTCTCTAAAACAGAGATATTCTCATCGTTTTACTTGTAATAACTAAATTGCGAAAAGTGTAATCAACGCACCACACAACGATAGAGAAATATTTTTCTTTCAGAGATATCATATCCATTTTTGTAAATAAAAAACAAGAAACAGTAAATTAGACGTTTATAGATTACGTGAGTTTGCTAGAAAAATTTCATTTATAATATATATATATATTGAAGCGTATAAATTATGCGAAAGATGCACCAAAGATTTCTAAACTTCTGCCAATAAGGAAAATATATTCATGCAACTAATTTCCAATTGGTCACGTTTTCGCGTTTTAAACTTGGGATCTCATTCACCGTTGCTATTCACGAGACTTTCACCTCCTTTAAATTATTCTCCGTGATTTTAAGTACACAAATACGTATATATATATATGCACACATACACACAAATATATTTAAAAGTATGGATAGACGAATCATGCATCCGGATTGTTGTTCAGTATTTCTCAACGTTCCTTTTTTTTTAATAATCCAATTACTTGTATAACACACATATTTCTTTTACGTACTACGAATAATTATGGGAAGAGAAAAGAAAGAAAAAAAGAAAAAGAAAACGAAAGGCGTTTATGGGAATTAAATGGTACAAAAAAAAAAAAAGGAAAAAATAAAAGAAAAGAAAAATAATAAAAAGTGAATGATAACGTCATGGACCAACCGTTTAAAACTCGAGTGAAATGGAACAACCGATGTGCTTTCGCTGGACGCGTTTCGCACGTGCGTTGCGTTCTTTAGTACCGGTAAGGTATCTCTCTCCGGTAACAAAAAAAAAAGAAACTTTTCTTTTTCTTTATTTTTTTTGTCCTTTTCTTTTTTTTTTTTTTAATTATTCTACTCTCTTTCTTCTATCCCAAGAAACTTTCGATCGAGACTCAATTTCACTTGTCTCCTTTTTCGAAACAACTGTTTTTATACACGAATTATTCTTCATAAGAATGTTGGTACCATAAGAATCGTTGATTTAGATATTGCAAGGATTTTAATGAACGATCATCAATGAAAATCATTGTTCATTAGCAAATGAGAAAAATTCTTGTTATAAGACTATATAATTTCTTATGGCATGGCCCCAATCCATGTCGCACGGGGTTTCCGCTCCAGAAAATCCACGGTCAGACGTTAATTGTAGAACAATTAAGCCGATCTAGTTCCTTGATATATATACTTTTTGTTCTCCTCCTCTTGTTCTTCTTCTTCTTCTTCTTCATTATCATTATCATCATCGTCATTCTTCCATTCCAAGTTTTATCAAATACCCCGTTAACTCGAAGAAAAATAGTTTCTTTTTTATCCTCGTGCAATGTAAGAAATTTTATATGGTGTAATATATACTCGTATGACCGCGTGCTAATATAAAATGAAATATAAATGATTGTAAAATAAAATAAAATATGAAACAACTCACTTTGAACATCTTGCTGTTTGTAGATTTTGGTAAAGGGATCCCACGTTGAACGAATTTACGCGAATTACTTTTTTTTTTTAATTCGTCTCTCCTTCTACCCCTTTCCCAATTTTACAATTATCCCCCAAAAAAATACCAAACGTCGACTTAAAAACGAAATAAGAAAAAATTTACAACAACAAAAAAAGAAAATAAATTCTTTTTATTTTTAAGCGACCATGGTCGCTTTTGTTATTGACCCTTCGTTATCGTTCGGTCAAATTTTGTGGTCAAAGGGGTAAAAAAAAAAGAAAAGAAAAAAAAGAAATGCGAATATAAAAAGTGTAAAGGAAACGACGGACGCAAGAAGGTGATGTGAGATGTAAGAAAAAAAAATTGCAAAAAAAAAAAAAGAATAAAAAAAACGAGAACTTAAAGAAAAGGTAGGAGCAGTGTATATCGGGGGCTCCCTAAGACGCACCTGTTGACTCCCGAGATATCTTGGCAAGACTGACGATGGCAGTCAGCCGGTGGCTCCTCGTGTCTCCATCGAGGAGTGAGAATTCTCTCCGACCTACTTCCTCCGTTTGCCTTCGCCTTCGCCTTCGCCTTTTTCCGTCGTTTAATATCATGGAATACAACGACAACTAAAAGAATGAATATACGCTACTGTCTCGTCTGTCTAGACATTTTTTTTTAATAATAATAATAATAATATAATGTATGCTATGAGATTATTTATAAAGGGGTAGAAAAGAAACTAAACGGAAATTGCAAGCATGCAATTGAATCTATAATTTGTATATCAGTATATCATTATTTCGTACAAATATTTTTAATTAATATTTATTTTAAATAAATGGGGGTAGAAAAAAATATATTTTTATTATATATTTAATTAATATTTATTTAAAATAAATAGAAGTAAAATAAAACTAAACAGAAGTGCCAAGCATGCAAAAGAATTTACAGTTTGTATATTAGGGTTATTATTTTATTAATATATTTTTTATTAATATTTATTTCAAATAAATAGGGGTAGAAAAAAATATATTTTATCAATATATTTAAATAATATTTATTTAAAATAAATATGGGTAAATAGAACTAAATGGCAATTGCAAACATGTAAGGATCTATAATTTATAATATATATCGGGGTTAATATTTTGTTAATATATTTAATTAATATTTAATTTAAGTAAATGGCCAGTCATATGTGGTAAAATATCAATATTTAATATACAATACTTTAAAATAATATGCAACCTTGATGCAACTTTATTTCTATAATTAATTAATTTGGAATCTTTGTAAATATAATATAATAAATATATCAAGCAAATAATTAATATTGCACTATCAACATTTGATTCGAAATCTATTAATATTATTACAATCATTTAAATTAAATTAACTACCATAATTAATAAAATTACTGACCATATTTAAATGCAATACTGATCTCATACAATGGTTCTGTTTTTATCCTACGGACACAATCCTTGAACTTTGTTCGTATTCTAAAAATATTATCAACTCGTCTGGATTGCGTATATTAAAAAAAATTTTTTACGAGTTTAGCCGTGATGTTTAAATGTAGAATCAAGTAAAAAAAAACAGATACATACGACTCGTTGTTAAACGTCAATGCTTATATCATTAAAAAACTTCTACACTCCATTAATTTTTCCTTCATGTTACATCAGATATTCAATGCGAATAAAGATCCATTATGATTCTTGGTTACATCTTTCTTATGCCATTGAAATGAACAGTTACTTTTGTATTATTATAAAAGTCTTTGTTCACATACTAAAAATAATCTGAATTTATTTATTTTATTGATTATCACATACACACTACACACACAGGGATGCTAATTCATTTAGACATTGATATTTAGAACGTGGTTTAAAATCATCCTAGTGAATTTAATTAAAAGTCATACGATAAAGATTATTCACGAATCACAACACAATGCACGTCTTTGAACGTCTCATAGTATTTTCTAATTCATTGATCCGAATACATGTAAACATGCTGAATCATTTACACGTGAATCAAGTGATCGAAAAGAAATAACCATATTAATTTAAATATTTAATTAGTAAAATAAAATTTTGAATATATATATATATAAATTATTATGTATTTGGTTAATTTAAAAATATATTTTAATAAATATAATTTAATATAATTTAAAAATAAATTAATCTCGAATTGAAAAAATTTAATTATAAATTGTAACTTCTTTGAATCCCGTGATTATTTCTTTTTTTTTTATTTTTACCTTGAGTAAACTATACATTCCAACGTTTTAATAATTATAATAGGAAACATTCGTGTCATCTGTACTGTTTTCATCATGCATTTCAATCATCGTATTGCCATTGATCAATATAATTTAACGAATGAATTGTTCGTTAATTTGATACGTACATAATAAAACAAAAACATTGTCGAATCATTCGTTAGATAGAAAACGATTGAGAAGTTCAAAGATTAATGTTAAAACCGGTACGTGAAACTTGAACAGGTAGATCTGAGTTTAATGTTTTTTCAAGTTCACGAACGTACGAAGACGGAAGAAACGTTCGATTCTGGTATTAAGCAAGTAAAAAGAAAGAATGATAAAGAAAGAAAGAAAAAAAAAAGAGAAAAAGAAGGTGGGGGCATTTCAAGTCTTGAGTTCAGAGACCCGCCAGTGAAAGTCCATCGCCCAGTACAAACTACGTGAACGATGCACACACCTGTGTAACCTTCTCCACGTGTCCCTCGACCTCTTCTTACAGAGAAAAGATTTCTCTGTGTATCGTTTCCAGTTCCATAAACTGACACAATTCCAAAGTCATCTATGGAATTCTTCTATTCGCGCCTATCCTAATTTGCATTTATCGCACCAATGAAAAGATTAATAAATGAGAGGAAGGAATGAAACATATATATATATTACTTTCACTTTCCAAGGACACCGGAAAACATGACGGATAGATGGTATTATTCGATGACAACTAGCCCACCTATGTATATATATATACTTTTGTTCTTTTTATTCTTACGTCTAATTAAATGGGAATACTTTCATTGAAATATTTTTTTTTCTTTACTCAACATTATGTTTCATTTGTCATGTTAACACCTACAAACGTCTTCTTGTTATTCTTTAATATTTTTGGTAAATAAGTAATGTTTGTCGAAACTTATTTAACCTTTTTTTTTTTAAATTAAAAAAAGAAACCACTTCAAATTCAACTTCTATTCAGGATAAGGACTTGAGAGAAAGAGAGGAAAAGGAGAGAGAGAAAAAAGAGAGAAAAAAAAAAGTCAGGTCGACTTTCACTTTTCGAAAGTCGTGTAAAGAGGTGGTGAAGTAAAAAAAGAAGAAGAAGAAGAAATGGAGAATAAAGTTTGAGAGAGAAGAATACACGTGAGATATACGAAGAGGAAAGTGGATCTATGAATTTTTCCGGGAATCAAAAGTATAGGCCTTTCGATTTCTCGAGTGATATCGCGAACACCGGAAATGCAACGATGTAATATAGATCAGTAGGTAAGTGTGGCCCATGGCAACTCACGAACATCAGAGAAAGAGAGAGAGAGTCACAGAATTCCTTTGAAAATTTATTGTTAGTCACGATCACTAAACACTCATGACTAATCTTTCTAATCTCTCTTTTTATCTCTTTTCCTAACCTGCTGGTAGTTTCTTCTTCGATTGTATATACTTTAAATCTTTATATATAAAAATTCAGTGTCACAATATGTTTGTCCATTAATAATTCTGAAACTACTGAACCTATCTTAATGAAATTTTTTGTATTTTATGTGATTTTTTTCAACTTAAAATATAGAATAATTTTTATCGCGTTAATTTTCTATTTTTTATTGCTAATTTAAGGATTTATTATTTAAAGGTTATCTTGATTCTTAGGTATTATAAATTTTCCAATAGATGGCGAGGTATTACAATTCCATTATTTCACGTTTTTTCAGGTTTATTTTTGATACAACTAACCTTACTTTTTATATTTTTTCGTGTATTATTATTTTATGCATTCCATTATAATTGTGTTATTATTTTGTGTGTTATTATAATTTACTAAATAATTTAGAATTATATTAAATCAACCTTTTATAACAAAACCACAGCAACCCATCGCCGAACCATCCTAGTGTAACTATAAAAAAAATTAAAAATAAAAAGGAAGAAGATAGAAACAAAAAAAAGAAACCAATACATAGATCTCATACGTGAGATTAAAGAATTTCTCTTTTATATATGTATGTATATATTTATATGTATGTATGTGATGTTAAAGTCAACGACCGACTTTCGATATAACGATCATTAAAATCAATGTAAATTTGTCGAAAGTCTGTTAAAACTCTAATGGACCGCATCTAATCTTAAATTACGATGATTCTCTTGATTTAAATCTTATAATTATAAACAGTATCGAAGTGAAATACAATTAATTTTAGTTTAAGATAATATATATTTATATTATGGGATTTCAATAGAATATTTTGTCGAGTTTATGTAAGAATTCATTCGTTCGAGGTAAAAAAAAAAAAAAAAAGAAAATATTTCTTTTGCTTCCTATTATTGTCACTTGATAGAATATTTTTTTAAATTATTATTATCAAACATATTATAGCATTTTCAATTGTTCGTTGATGTTCATATCTTCCCTGCTGTTCCAGAAATCATTTTTTCACGTATCTATTAAAACCTTTCACTTTTTGTGTCGTTTGAAAAATTTATGCTAAACTTCTCCCAGTTTTATTAAAAAAAAAAAAAAAAAAAAAATTCTATACGTTCCTTCGTCGAAGTTGAAGATGCAAAAATTTAACGATTATTTGCACGCACGACTCATTGTCAATGCATATGACCTCGTAGCTAAGTTTTCCAATATCGTTCGAGTATCTTTTCAACACACTCGCTTTCCTTGACATAACTCGTCAATGCCCACACATCAACGTTACGCAGCATCTTTGTATCAAAAATTAATCGAATGATATTTCTTCTTATTTTTTTTTTTCCAATTAAACGCGAATATTCTTTTTATCTCGTGTCAAAAGTTCATCGAATGAAAAAAAAAAAGAATTTCTTCTTCATTTTTTTTTAACCAATTAAAATGCGTATACTCTTAACGTATCATAAATTTGAATCGAACAAAAATTCTACTTATTTTATATTTTTTTTTGTTTCACTCAATAAAATGTGAATCTTCGTGTCAAAGAGTAATTGAAAAGAAAAAAATATCTTCCTCTTCTTTCTTTTTTAGTTTCATTAAAATTCAAGAATCATTGTGTAAAAAAAAAAACTTATTAAAAATTGTTCGAACGAGTATTCTGTTAAATATTTTAGTATTCGTTTACCAAAATTTAATTTCGTTTAAGGGCGGGGTAAGGGTTTCCACTTTCGAAAAATCGATTTTGTTGTTGTTGTCTTATCTTATTGTTTAACATTTCAAGAATATGTCCTTAAAATTTAAATCTGATCTATGCAATATTATAGAAGTTATTGTCAAATTAGTCTCGGGGCCTTTCACGCTCTAACTCTAACAGCTACGGTCGTTCAGAATAGCAGTGCAGCTGTCGAACAGTTTATTCATTACTATTGTCCTAACCCATTATCTAGTTTTAGAAATATTTTATTTAGTAAAGGAAGGTAACTAAAGCCATAAAGATATATTTTATTATATCCATATATTATATATATATATATAAGAATTTCACCAACGTGTTAACCGAACCTT